GATCCTTCGTATGTCTAGGGACAATTCATTTCATAGGGCAGGAGCCCCCACAGAGAAGGCTCTCCCCCTCGGGGTCACCAGTCGACATTGTTTGGCCGACGGCACCCTGAGGAGGCCTCTTTGTGGGAGCATGTTGGTCGGTGGGAGGAAAACGGTGGCAGAATGCAGTCCTGTAAGTAACCAGGTCCTAAGCCATGGAGCACTTTAAAGGTGGTAACCAATACCTTGAAGCGCACCCTGAAGACCACCAGGAGCCAGTGCAGCTCGCGCAAGAGGGGTGTTACATGGGAGCGACGAGTCGCCCCATTATCAGTCGTGCGGCCGTATTCTGGACCAGTTGGAGCCTCCGGGTGCTCCTCAAGGGGAGCCCCATGTAGAGAGCATTACAATAGTCCAGATGGGAGATGACGAGGGCGTGAGTGACTGTGCGCAAGGCGTCCCGATCCAGAAAGGGACGCAACTGGGAAATCAGGCAAATCTGATAAAAAGCCCCCCTGGCCATGGCTGTCATATGATCATCTAAAGACAGCCGTGAATCCAGGAGGACGCCCAAGTTGGAAGCCCTCTCTGAGGGGGGTAAGATCTCATCCCCAATAGCCAACGATGGTGTTAGCTGGCTATATCGGGACGCCGGAAGCCACAGCCACTCAGTCTTGGAGGGGTTGAGTCTGAGCCTGTTCCTCCCCATCCAGATCCACATGGCCTCCAGGCAACGGGATATCACATCAAGGGCATCATATAACCATTTTTCTTTCTCATGTAGTCCATATTTCACATACATCCACTCCTCTAACCTCAGTATCTGTCACTTAACCATTTATAGAATAGTTCCCATCAGTGGTGAGATTCAAGTAATTTAACAACCGGTTCTCTGCCTTAATGATTTCTTCCAACAACCAGTTTGCCAAACTGCTCAGAAAGTTAACAACCGATTCTCCCGAAGTGGTGCAAACTGGCTGAATCCCACCACTGTTCCCATGTTATAAAATATTCCGAGTCTTCTTTTCCTTTGATTTTTAGGGTTAACCTATCCATTTCTGCACATTCCAGAATTTTTTTAATGTCATCTGTAGGGGTTTCTGGATTTTTCCAGTATTGTGCATATACAATCCTGGCTGCTGTTAGGATATGTAAAATTAAATATGTGTTACTCTTATTATAGTTTCCTAGAAGCATGCCCAACAAGAATGAGTCAGGTTTCAAATCTATGTGTTGTTTTGTCATAATTTCCAGCCACATGCGTATTTTCTTCCAGTATTTTTTTGCTTTGGGACCCGTCCACCACATATGATAATATGAGCCTGGTATTTGGTTGCATTTCCAACATTTAAAAGATTATTTCTTATACATATTCGCTAACCTTGCAGGTGAATAATGCTATCTATAAAACATTTTATAGAGGTTTTCTTTATACGCTGTTGACATTGCAAGTTTATGATTTCTATCCCATAATTTCTGCCACCTGTCCAAATCTATTGTACACCAGACATTTTTCTGATTATATTCCCCTATTTGTTGTTCTTCAAAGAGATTTACTTTCTTCTCTTTTCTTCCTTGATATTGATCATTATACCACTTTTCTTGTTACATAGAGCTTTCATGTTAGCTTGTTCTGAAAGTCACTTGGATCATTCCCTTTTTGGATGTTTTTTTTCTGGGGGGGGGAGGGAGACTATTTCATGATGTCTCTTCTCTCTTCCCTACTCCTCCATTTCTCATCTGCATAAGCCAAGCATGCCAAATCTGATTCTCACATGATTAGATAAGCTCTTTCTTTTCAGATTCTCAGACAAGGTATTCTTTAAGAAGGAGGACATTTTCTCATTAGGCCCTTCAGCATTTCCAACAACTGCCTCGCATATCTCTTATTTGCTAAAGTGAACCAAAATTGAATTGCTCACTGCCAGGCAAAGAATTCCAGTTGCTTTTTCATTAGCTCCATCTTAAATTCTTTACTCCTCTATCAGCTCTGCTAGTCCACAGAGTTTGCAAGATGCTATTGCTCACCCTTCAAAAGTATTTTTCTTTAAAGGATCATTGTTCAAATTCAAGAATTTCCTAACTGTTTGATGTTTAATGTGGGCAGTCTACTCATTTCTTAGCTCGTAATACTTTCTTTTAGAAAAGAGATTGATGTAACTCTGATTGCATATCAAGAGATATAAATATTAAGCAGAACATCTCTATGTATAATAAAACCAAAACTCCTAAGAGTACCAAATAGATTCTAAAGAAAAAAAATATAAGTTTATTAAGAAAATTATATGTGCTAACAGAAATCCTGGAAGAGGCTTATTTTGATTTCGGAACAATCTGCTCATACTTAATTTGAAAGGCAGTAAGAAGTATTCTGCAAATGTGCAACTTTGAAGACTTAATTCTTTTTATTTGTTTGCATTCTGCAACTTCATGCTCACAACAACAGTAATATACTATAAATACAATTTCTGAATATAATATCTTGCACCAATTGAGGCAGCTGTAGATTCCTTCAGATATATTAAGTATTTTCTGCATTCGAGAAAGATCAAATGCGATCAACCTTTGAATCAAAATAACTGAAATAGGCTTCAGGATTTAAGATTCATGAAATTATGCACAAAAACACTCATACATACAAATCACTGTTTTGCAAAAATAACATTTATGGGTATTTGCATGATTATCTTTTTATAGTAAGAATAATACGTTTTGCTTATTATTTTACTGGTAAATTAACTATGCAATTTTATAATTTATTATATACTTATTCTCTTTTCCATTCCCTCTCTTGTTCTATCTGTGCAAATGTGTTCTTCACATTTGTTTTTTTTTAAGTTTTGCATATCTTTGCTACTGAATGTTCAATCAATCAATTTTATTTGTCTTTCTCCAGCACAAAGGATATGGTAAACAATACAGAACGAATCATAAAATCATGAAATAATTCTATCACTTAAAAGCACCCTATCATATTAGATATTAATAGTATATATAGATTTTACAAAATACCCATGAGAGTAAGATCCATAAACTGGACATCTGGGTCTGATTCATATATAAAATACATTAAAATAAATAATAAAAAAACATGAATCTTTTATCATGTATTTCAAATGCAGCATTTTCAACTCATAAAGTGCCAGTATGAAAAAATAAATCATTGCTATAATTCATTTATTTCTATTTAAGTATGATTGGGGGCAGTTATGTGTGTATATTCTTAAAGAAGAGGTCAGACCCACCCTACATAATTCTCACAAACTTTAATGGTCATCATCACAATGAAATTCTCACCACATAGATTCTAAAGTTGCTTCATATGCCATTCAAAAACAATTTCTGAAAACCTCATTTTAGTTAAATTTCTTGATGATTATCAGTATGAAAATGGTACCAAACCATTTCTAAAGCTCTGGGTTTCATCTTTTGTAAACACAAAAGATTTGGAACATTTTTAAAAAAATCTTGTCAAGATTGTTTTCTCTCTCAAAATTACTTCAAATATGCAGCCTAACATTGTTCAGGATTAATAAAGTGTTAATACCACTTTATAATACCTTGGTAAGGCTACATTTGGAATATTGCATTCAGTTTTGGTCACCACAATGTAAAAAAGATGTGGAAACTCTAGAAAGAGTGCAGAGAAGAGCAACAAAGATGATTAGGGGACTGGAGGCTAAAACATATGAAGAACGGTTGCAGGAACTGGGTATGTCTAGTTTAATGAAAAGAAAGACTAGGGGACACATGATAGCAGTGTTCTGATATCTCAGGGATTGCTACAAAGAAGAGGGAGTCAAATTATTCTCCAAAGCACCTGAGAGTAGAACAAGAAGCAATGGGTGGAAACTAATCAAGGAGAGAAGCAACTTAGAACTAAGGAGAAATTTCCTGACAGTTAGAACAATGAATAAGTGGAACAACTTGCCTGCAGAAGTAGTGAATGGTCCAACACTGGAAATTTTTAAGAAGATGTTGGATAACCATTTGTCTGAAGTGGTGTAGGGTTTCCTGCCTAAGTAGGGGGTTGGACTAGAAGACCTCCAAGGTCCCTTTCAACTCTGTTATTCTATATAAGGATGTTACACAGAACTACATAAGAACTTCTAGAGCTATGTAGGGTTATCAGTTTGACTAAAGTCAATGTACATGATTTCAAATCAGAACAGACTGGGTAAAAATGGGGGAAACTTTATTTTTTATTTCTTGACATTTTGGGGTGGGATGAGGTGGGATTGGGTGGAGTGGGGTGGGATGGGATGGGATGGGTTGGGTTGGGTTGGGAAGGAGGGACTGGCCCAGTATTGAGTTCTTAGGTGGTTGGTTTCAACTTTGCCCAATCTCAGGCTTGGACAACACTGAAGGGCATTTCATATTATTAATGTGCCAAATAAGTTTCTCAAAGAAAGAAAACCTTTTTCTGTTTTAGGAAGATAGCTTTAATTCATATCAAATATCAAATATTTCCAGTAACCATATTACTTTTAATAATCAAAATCAATAACCTTATGATGAATTGTTTACACTGTTCTAAAACTTCTTTGTGTTTACTTAGACATTCCCTCCCCTTGTTCCTTTATTCCATGTGCCAGAAATGCACTAATAAGACTTTACCAATCATTCGTCCAAGGATCATATTTATAGTCTTTTCATTATAGCTTTGGTACAAAGTGTCCCCCTTTAATGTGTGTATGTGTGTGTGTGTGCATACATAATGCTAATCGTATTATAGCCTTATTTCTATTTGCTAATGATTTATGAATGTTTATTTTGATTTATAGAGTGCCTGAACTTTTCTTCATGGCAATGCAGACATAATTCCACCAAAAAAAAAAAAAAAAAACCACCACTTTTTCTATGTATTTATTCATTTAATAATTCTTAAATACTCCTAGTTATTGCTCCATTCAAAGTGGTCTGTGAAAATCCTATACTAAAATTAGTAATATCAAAATTCAGTCAATCCAGCAGAACACAGCATTAATAAAAACTATATAGAAATAATTTCCAAAAGCAAATTAAATAGTTTTACCTTTAATTGCAGCTGAAAAATATAGACCAATTTGATTTTAATGACATAATTAAAGGAAATATTCCAACTTCTCCTTCAAAATCAGCTAAACCAAAAGATATTTAAATTTAGCTCTATCACACACAAACAGTAAAATGATAGGAATTACTTAATTGATAAACTGAGAAAAAAAATAAATGTATGACATAAAACAGTATCTTAAAGACAAGCCAAATGCATTTTTCAAAAGTTATTCTCATCTTATCAGGATTTTCTTCCAGATAGGTGTGTGAAGAATTGAATTTTAATTATGTGGAACTAAGTTCCATTGAATTCAAATATGCATGGAGGCATCCTCAGCTAACTACTGACATAAGGAGCAATTCCCTTAATCCTCCCATAGGCAGCCATAATTTTTAAAAGCGGTTTGTTTTTTTGATCCAAAATGAAATATTTGACCACAAAAACACTGAGTGATTCTTTACAAGCTGAGCAAATGATGGGATAACAGATCTCTTTAGGAATAAGCTGTTAAGGCTTAACTGAATCTTCAAATCTTACTCATACAATGTATTTAATGAAAAATAATACAAGAAAAGAGCTCTGGTTCCAATATTGACTTTTACTCAAATTACAATAATACAGTCCAATAGCAGTCATTCACCAGACCTTATGAATAGTGAATATACCAAGTTATGCCCAATGCAAAGACTGGCACTTCTAATGCACCATTAACAAATATAGAACATAAATTGGTTTTCCATTCAGAAAACCTTTTTTTTTTTAAATTCAGAAATTACTTATTGTTGGAGTCTTCACTGAGAAGATCATTTAAAACTCACAAGGATTTTCATACATTTTTTTTTTTAAAATTTGATTTATATGCCGCCCTTCTCCGGAGACTCAGGGCGGCTTACAATGCGTTAAGCAATAGCCTTCATTCTTTTGTATATTTTATACAAAGTCAGCTTATTGCCCCCACAAACTGGGTCCTCATTTCACCTACCTTAGAAAGGATGGAAGACTGAGTCAACCTTGAGCCTTGGAGAGATTCGAACCAGCAGAAATTGCAGGCAGCTGTGTTAATAACAGGGTGCACTAAACCATTGTACTATCAAGGCTCTTGATTTTAAAGTGCTGAACAGGAATCGCAATGGACCATTTATGCAATGATTAAAGTTGATGTTGAGGTGAAGTTTATCAACATTTTGTCAGCATTGGGTTGAACAAGTTACACTACAGATGAATCTTGAATGAAGTATGGACTTCTTCCCTTTGATTATTGAAACATGTAAAGTCAAAACTACTCAGTAATGGAGTCATTCTATGGTTATCACTGTTTTCCAGAATAGTTGTATTCTGAAAGCATAAAAAGTTGAACTCTTGATCATCTTTAAGAAATGATAAACTTGTGATAAGTACAGATGACAAAAGTGTTTCTCTGTGTCGCATAAGAGATGCTAGTTCCATCGTAGCGCATAAGCTTGGCCCAGGAAAAGGTGAAGATCTGTAATGTGCATTGCCTTTGGAAACAAAACAGTGGAGATGATCAACTTAATAAAATGTTCCTGTATATAAATAGAAATTCATTTATATGAAGTACAATTGATTTCTCATATAAAAGATGTACAAGTATATATAGTGCAGTAGAAAACAATGGAATTTGGGGAAGGAAACATTTCATCTCCATTCAGATCTAATCACTTTGTTTTTCACTATAATTAACTCTCCTTTGATTGACTATGCCACACATTCATCCTGTTCTCATTAGGTCTGCCAGTTCAGTGCCATAATATACAGATAACAGGATGGCTCTGTTATTCCACATAGCTTCATCTTCATCAGTTTAGGTCACTATCTGAAGACTACAATGCATCACAACACTAGTGAATTGTGTCCACACTAAATAGTTATGGCTGGCACAGCTGTTTTTAGAACAGGGTTAACTGAGTTCGTGGAAAATTCATCTATTGATATTTATCAGTCCTCATGTTGTCTTGAGGGTCACTGATATCATATTACTTAATGCAAGTAATGGAAAACCACAAAATGGAGAAGCCATCATATATTGCTTGGTGTTTTTCCACAGGCAGCCACATAATCGCTGTGGGAAACTGGATCCTGAATCTCAAAAAGTGTTGGTCTAATAGAACAGGGATAATACTATGCTCTTCTTAACGCTAAAATTATTATTATTTCCTTACCTGATTTGTAGAGTTATACATCACTTTGTGAGGAGATGGAATGATTGCATCATTCTGAAGTACAACCACACTTTGAGAGGAGTTGAATTGGGCCCCTAAGACTTTTACTTCACCAAACTTTAAGTTATTTGGGTCAAAAAATCCTTGATGGGCAATTCTGATATCCAAGACATTCTGAAAGACAGTTCCCCAATATATTTATTGATAAAGTTATTTCATAATTTGCCATCATCTACATTTGGTTCCACCATGTAATGTATTATTGGGACAATATGATGAGAATGAAAGTAGCAGCAATAGGAATATTGGCAAAAGGTTTAATGGTGGTGGCTTCTAATAATCTGTAGATAAAAGCTCAATGTCTTGAGTTGTTGACCAGAATTTACAGATTATTACTGATCATTGTAAATCTAAATGTAGCTTTGCCTACTTATTATTGTACTTGGTTTAACATGCCCAACTCTCACTATGGGCAACCATGCTATTCTGCATCTCTTCTTGTTGCCTTTGAATAAAGACCTTTGGGACAACTATGACCTGGATGATTGAGAATCTTCCTATGTATAATTCACATGTAGATAAAGTAGGGTAGATGCCCTAATTCAGTGGTGAAATCTAAAATTTGTTACTACCGGTTCTGTGGGCATGGCTTGATGGGGGGGGGGGGTAATGTGACTGGGTGGGCATGGCCAATTTTTTTTTTTTACTTTTAAAACCATTTTTTCTACAACCTCTTCGGCGAAGAGGTTGTAAAAAAATGCTTTCAAAAGGCTCTGAGGATCTCAGCTGAGTTGCCTGATCGGCAGAGGCTTTTTAAAAGCCTCTGCCAATCAGGCAACTCAGCTTGGATTGTCAGAGGAATTTAAAAGAAAAAAAGGGATTTTTTTATTTTAAAAGCCTTTGACGATCCCAGCTGAGCCGTGCGATGATCAGAGGCTTTTTTTTTATTATTTATTTCTAAAAGCATTTTTTGGCCGAAGAGGTTGTAGAAAAAATGCTTTTAAAAGTTAAAAAAAAAAAAAAGCCTCTGATGATTGTGCAGCTCAGCTGGGCATGTGGGGGGGTGGACAGGGATTTTTGCTACTGGTTCTCTGAACCACCCGCCTCCATCGCTACTGGATCGGGCGATCCGGTCCGAACCGGGAGCATTTCACCCCTGCCCTAATTCATACCAATTAGTAGGTATAGATTAGAGTTTTTTCCCTTCTTTCATTTTGCTGTAATTATCAAACAATACTGAAATGTTTTAATATGTAATTCAAAATATTTAATATTCAAAATACCTATACTATATACAAAGAAAAATATATAATTTCCATTAATATAGCTATTATAGTTAGTGGCTTGTTTCTTATTATTGGGTAGGGTTTTTTCTTCTTTCATGGTTTCTATTATTAATTAATTAATTAATTAATTAATTAATTAATTAATAGAGCAAGAGCAAAGAAGAGCAACAAAGATATTAGGGGACTGAAGGCTAAAACATATATAGAATGGTTGCTGGAATTGGATATGTCTAATTTAATGAAAATAAGGACTAGGGTGACATCATATCAGTGTTCCAATATCTAAAGGGTTGCCATAAAGAAGAGGGAATCAACCTATGCTCCAAAGCAGGACAAGAAGTAATGAAAGGAAACTAATCAAGGAGAGAAGCAACCTAGAACCAAGAAGAAATTTCCTGACATTTAGACCAACTTGCTCCAGAAGTTGTGAATGCTCCAACACTGAAACTTTTAAAGAAGAGATTGGACAACCATTTATCTGAACTGGTATAGAGTTTCCTGCCTGAGCAGGGGATTGGACTAGAAGCCCTCCAAGATCCCTTGCAACTCTGTTATCCTGTTACCCTGTTACCCTGTTACCTTGTTACCCTGTTATCCTATCTATTCATCCATCCATCCATCCATCCATCCATCCATCCATCCATCCATCCATCTATCTATCTATCTATCTATCTATCTATCTATCTATCTATCTATCTTTCATGTTTCCTAACTGTTCATCTTCCTCCTTCTTAATATGTAATATCCACAAAAATAATGTATAATTTTCTCTAGTATAAATGAAAACAATGGACACTGATTAACATTCTAAGTCATTATATGAACAAATAGTTCTGTAATTGCATTATATTACTAAAGCATCAATAAAAAAAAATATATATCACTGAAATATTCAGCAAGATAGCTTCAGTGATAAATTAGTTAATCTTTATCTATTTTGTTCATTCCTCAATCATATTTGAAATCATATGCAACTTAATTGATCAAATTAATAATTTGGACTGCAATAAAAAAATGTAAAGACAATTTGGTGTAGGGGTTATGACATCAGGCTAGTTTCTGGAAAGAGTTCTAGTTCTGCCTCAGGCCCAAAGTGACCTTGGACCAGTCACTTTCTCATAGTCTTAGGAAGGAGACAACAGTAAACAATCTCAAAATTCTCGCCAAGAATTTTGAAGGCAACAATAGTAATATGACATCTAGGTTCCTCAGTGCTTATCAAGGCCATATCACCAAAAGAATTGGCATTGGGATTTCACATTATTGTGTACATAATAATTGCAGTAGATGGATAAAAATGCCAGAATATAAATATAAAATATAAAGTGAATAAGTAAGTGAATAAAAATACCAAATCCAGTCTAAGTAAAAATAGTTATACATCACCTTTTGCAGTGCCATTGTAACTTTGAACAGTCACTAAATGAATAGTTGAAATTTGAGGAAAACCTGTATATTTATTATCCGAACCCACAATATTTTGAACCTTGATTGAACCTGTAAGCACAACCCATTCTCAAATACATCTCCATACCCAATCTTCAAGAGAACATAAGATAATTTTTTGCAGGTATGCCACATTGCAGAATTGTGCCATGAGTCTAAATTTAACTTGAAAGCCTCAAACTGATCTTCCAGTTATATCAGATTGGGAAATCTAAATTTAGCCTGAAAGTTCTACAATAGCAAAAACAAGTCTTTTAGACCTTCTTCAACTGTTTCAGCTGTAGTTTGAAAGAAAAGAACCTATTAGATCCATACACTTTGGAACAGGAAAGGGACAAAATAGTGATTAGGAAGAATGAACACTGGAAAGTTGATAAAGAGACATTTGGAGGGTTCAAGTTTTTGCAATATTTCAAGACTTCTTTGAAGAACACCAGAAAGCAAAGAGCTTTCTCACTATTATGAAAAGAAGCAGTCATTCACTTATCTCTGAATTATAATAGCAAATGATTGCAAAGTATTTCTTTCTAAATGTAATGTTCTGTGCCAACAAATGGATCAAATTAAATGAAAAAAAAATAGCATTCTCAAAAAATATCTTGAAATAACAATTTTCTTATTCTTTCTACCTTAATAGCACTACCTCAAGAGTATATAGAATGACATAATTATATTTACTATCAAAAACGAACAAAAAATATTTGCCATGCAAATAGCTATTACACAAATTTGAGACCCACTGATTTTTATTGAACACAATGCCTGCAGGCTAGAAAAGGGACTCCAGAAATCAGGTAAGATCTGAATCAGCAAGTATTTTCCATTTGTTTGTTTGAGAGAATTGGTTTGTTTAAGAGAATTGGTTTGTTTAAGAAAATTTATACGGCCACCCACTAACTCTCAATGACTCTGGGTGGCTTACAAAAATAAAAACTCAATGCACAAAAAGTAAAAACAATAATCCCCTACCCCCCCCCACTCCACTCCCTGGTGACAAGGAATAATTCATGTTTAAAGGTACTCAGTTAATTGCTTGTTTCACTTGTAGTTTTCTTATTCAACTAATTCTGGTTACACAGACACTACTATTTGACTTATTACACCTGAATTTTGTCAATCACTTATGAGTCCCTTCCTGAAATTTATTCCATCTAATGGTGGGACAGGAAGAATGGGGTGTAAAAATGATATGTGTGGCTATGGAATGAGAGGACTACATAGGGTTGTAGGGTTTGAAAATATATGAGAATGAGACAGCAGCAAGTATGAAAATAATCTGAGAGAAAAAAAAATCTCAATATTGTTTCTCTCTCTCTCTCTCTCTCTCTCTCTCTCCCTCCCTCCCTCCCTCCCTCCCTCCCCCTCCCTCCCTCCAAACACATTTTGCTTCATCTTTCCCTCTTTCTCTCTTTTGCTCTGTACACAGACATGTACAAATGTTATTGGAAAGTAATTGATTCGAAGAAACCATTTTGGTGATACTTGTTTGCATCTGGGGGGTTTATATAGAAACCTAATTGATTAATCTGTACAGGTAATCCTTGATCACAATTGAACAGAATTGAACTCTGTTGCTAACTGAGATATTTGATAAGTGATTTTTGCCCCATTTTACAATCTTTTTTGTCACAGTTGTTAAGCGAATAATGGCAATTGTTAAGTTAGTCATATGGTTGTTAAATGAATCTGGCTTCCCCATTGACTTTGCTTGGCAGGAAGTCGCAAAAGGTGATCACGTGACCCCAAGACACTGCAACCATCATAAATATGAATCAGTTGCCAAGCGTCCAAATTTTGCTCATGTGACCCTGAGGATATTGTAATGGTTGTAAGTGTGAAAAATAGTCAAAAGCCAATTTTTTTCTGTGCTATTGTACCTTCAAATGTTCACTAAATGAACTGTAAGTCAAGGACTACCTGTATTGGTTCATTCAATCAGGAAATAATGCCTAGAAAATGTACATACCTGACTGACATTAAACGTGTGTAGGAGGTAAAGTCCTTTCTCATATGCATCTGTAATAAAAGAATTGCAATATATGATTATTATATTATCCATGTTTCTGACAGGCTGTTTCCCACCATTTCATTCATTTATTCATTCAATATTTAAACTGCCCAAAAGCCACTGTGTTTAGTTTACAATAAAACACACTAAAAATGAAGAATATAATAAAAATATAAAATTAAATTAAAAATTAAAATAAAGAAATGCATTCCTTAACCTTGAGGAATAGTTGCATTGCCATCTGACAAAGCATTCCAAGCACAAGATAAGATGAATCTGTCCTCTAGAAAAAGTGGAATGGAATAGAATGGAACAGAACAGAACAGAACAGAACAGAACAGAACGGAACACTTTATTGTCACTTTAAGTGTACCCTAATCAGCATACATTAAAATGAAATTTTGTTGCGTTCTCAAAATATAACCTTTATGCATATACCCACATACACACATATATATGACATGGAAAAACAACACAGTCTGGTTTGAATGTATACATAATGGCAGGAAAAAAACCAGAATCTTGCAAGTTTACCAGACGGATGGCACAAAGAACAAAGCTGTTATAGAATACAGTAGTCCTGCTTTAGATACTTTGAAACCTCCTCCCAGAAAGGAGCATGAAGTGGGCATGAAGTGGGTGGGTGGGGTTTCTAACAATGCTTCGAGTTCTAAGCACATATTGTTTATAGGTAGTATCCTGAATAATGGGAAGTGAGCTTTCTATAATCTTCTCAGCTGTTCTTACCACTCTCTGTATGGACTTTCTATCTGAGGCACTGCTGCCACCAAACCAAACAGTGATGCAGTTTGTTAAAATGCTTTCAATTGTGCCTCTGCAAAAAGTGGCCAGGACAGAGGAGAAAGATGTGCTCTCCTCATCCGGCGCAGGAAATGCAAATGCTGGTTTGCACACTTCACTAAAGATAACGTATGAAGAGACCAAGTCAGATTGTTACTTATCTGCATCCCTAGATACTTCATACTATTGACCACCTCCACAACTGCAGCCTTCATACAAAGTGGAGTATGACTATGCCAGCTCTTTCTAAAATCAACAACGATCTCCTTTGTTTTGTTAACGTTCAACCTGTCCTTTGCAAAGTCCAATGAGATGAGATCACCAAAAAGGCCTGAAAAGAACATCAGTTTTACCAAGAAATCAGTAAGTAAATCTATGGGAAATGTTATGTGCAGTGTCATCCAGTTAAATAAACACAAGTGTAAGGGGCATGCATAAGAACACCAGTGTGCCTACCGTCCCTGTCCTAATGTTTCCTCTATTTGCATCTATTTTATGTATTCAATTCATGCTTACACTTACATATATTACCTAATATGTTCTTCACAAATAAAATAAATTTATAAGTATAGACCGAATAACTTCCTAACAGCAACAAGCAAGTAACCAAATAGTGAGCAAAAGCATGAATTTCTAATGGAAATACTTGTACATGTTTGTGTTAAGTATAGTTGGGCAACAGAATTCATTGCTACAACTGGAGAAAAATTAAATTTTGGTTGGAACAATTTCTATGTATTTGCCGATACAAGAAAGCTAAAAGAAAAAGGTAAACATCCAACAGAACGATGCAACTGTTTGTTTGTTTGTTTTAAGGGCCAAAAATTTAGGCCCTACATTCTGGCATTATCTTCTACAGTTCTTGAGAGCCATGCAAAAATGATGCTTTAAATCAGAAAATATTTACTTGTCCTAGAATTAACGACATTTTTTTTTCAAGTTATGCACTCTTTTCAATAATGTGCATTATACAATTAAACACCCTAACAGGGTTATAATTCAGTATTATCTTCAATGTGTCTTTGCATTCTATGGTGAGTGTTATATATTGGAAGCCAATTAAATCTATTGATTAATTTATCAAGGTTATACTTACCAATTGTTGTTCCATCATCCCAATAAAGAAGTCCTTGAGCAGCCCCATTATCATCCAAAGCAACTGTAAGTCCCATTAAATTTTTTCGACTAAAAGAAAAAAGAAAAGAAGAGAAAGGACATTTTAAAAAAAGAAAGTTGATTTATTTCCATTATTGTTCTAACTTGGGCTAGAGGATGTTGGTTTCATAAGAATCTGTTGTCTAGCCACACTTAGAGAAGATTTAATATCTATCTATATCTATATCTATATCTATATCTATATCTATATCTGTATCTGTATCTGTATCTGTATCTGTATCTGTATCTGTATCTATCTATCTATCTATCTATCTATCTATCTATCTATCATCTTTTCCCAAAAATACGACCTACTCAGAAAGTAAGTCCTAGCTTGATTTTTACATGTGCACCCAATATAAGCCCTACCCCCAAAATAAACCCTAATTAAGACCACTCCCACTCCAGGGTGCACGGGTAAAAATTAAGCTAGAGTGGGAATGGAAGGTGGAACTGCCCTACTATTTACCTTCAGATAGTTGCAGCAAAGCCTCGCACACCTTGGCCCATTTCTTTTGCAGCCAGCAAGAATTCCTGAAGGTCTCTGTAGCTGATCACAGAGCTCTGGATTGATCCAGAGCTCTTTTATCAGCTACAGAGGCCTTCAGGAAAGCCTTGCTGGCTACAGAAGAAATGAGCCAAGGTGTGCAAGGCCTGGCTGCAACTATCCGAAGCCTAAGAAGTTCCTGAAGTCCTCTGACAGTGAAAAGGAAGCTGGGGGTGATGGGCACAAATGACGGGCACAAGTGAGGTGAGTCAGTGGACAACATCCCCCCCAAAAAATAAGACCTGGTGCCTTTTTTTGATGGCAAAAAAATATATAAGACAGGGTCTTATTTTTGGGAAAACAAGGTATCTACCCTGTTTCCCCCAAAATAAGACATCCCCCAATAATAAGCCCAATTAGACTTTTGAGCACATGGCAATTGAGCGCTTATTTCAGGGTTCAAAAAAATATAAGACAGGGTCTTATTTTCGGGGAAACTCGGTATCTATCTATCTATCTATCTATCTATCTATCTATCTATCTATCTATTTCTATAACTGCCTATCTCAACCCAGTGACTCTGGGCAGTGAACAATTATAACATAATTACCTATTTTATAACATTTTTTATATATATTTTTAAATGTTTTGTTTTTATACAAAAACAAAAAAGCAACTTCTCAATACAAAACTGATGAACAAGTTACCAATATGGTGACATATTGCTCGTACCTGATGTTGGTGTTTAAACCAGGTAGCTGCCATGGGATAATATAGCCACCTCTGAGATGAAGATTGATGTGATCAAGAGGAGTTGGCAATCTTCTCTGCTGTCGCCTTGTGCCAATGTTTTCCTCCTATTTGTAAAGAAGACAATATTTTCCATGTTGTTATCCCACAAAAGTTACACACTCTTCCACATTTATTGGATAACTCAAATAAAGTTTCTTTGGCTGCTTTCATTAACATTTGGTTCAAATTCCCATCAGTATTTTGTTCAGTGCCCCTCCTTTTTTTCATCAAGGTCTTATTCTTGAATTCAGCTGAAATTTGAGGCCAGAAGAAAGCATGGAAACTTAATACTAAAGATGTTTGTCCTAAAATTCAGAGGAATAAGGCAGGTACAAGGAAGAAAAAGAGATATATTACTTACTGTGTAATAATCATACCAGCGGGCATCTGGAAAGTAAGCTTCCACTTCTGTAACGTTCTACATTTAAATAGATATATTAATATTAAATATAATATGAATGGTTCTTTTTGAAGAAAAATATATTTACACATATTTACTTTTCATTTTTTTCTCTCAACTTACTTCATGTAGTGCAGGACTAATGAGCAATGCAGGTCCCCAGAGAAACTGCTCATGTATACTCCATGTTGTTTTATCATCGGTAAATCTAAAAGTAACATACTGAATCATTATGTAGAGCAGGGTTGGGCTGGTTTCAGGTTTTGGCTCTGCTCTTTATCTACAAAAACATTAATCATCTCCTCCTCCTCCTCCTCCTCCTCCTCCTCTTCCTCCTCCTCCTCCTCCTCCTCCTCGTCCTCCATCTCCATTAAAATGTAACCAGAAGTTTTTGCACATCTACTTCAAGTTATCTAAAACTATCAGTATATTCTGATTAAACATCTGGTCTAGAGCAATAAGAGCATTATGCTTCTTTAAAAATCAAATACCTGGGTGTGTGCCAAAAATGCTATTATATATACTTGGTTTGAAAAGACTGTTCTAAATGTTTTAAAAATGTAGCTGCTCTTGAGATTAAATTTCCAACCTGTTGAGTTATTTTTTTTAAAAAAAAGGAAGGGCATGTTTTCCTTTTTAAAAAGGACATATTTAGTTGTTATTTTATTGCAAGCAAAAACTAAGCTTTGAAAGCTCACACACCATTAATTAATTAAAAGTCACCTATTGATACACCTTCATATCCGAGACAATTTTCCTATTGAGTGTCACCCAATGATAATGGTATGAATGAAAATAATATTCAAACTTTGGGCTTCTTTTTATTTATTTATTTTTTAAAATATAAACTTTAAGAATTTACATTCACTGAATAGTAGACGTTTAGATATTTAATTGTGTTTAATTGCATTTTGTTTATATTATACCATAACATAGAAACTGTATAATATTTTTGTCCCAGAAAAATGCAGGTCAAAGAAGGAGCTCATCTCAGCTTCTTAAGTTGAAGGAAAAATAAATGACTTTAGTCAGATAGTTTTATAAATGGCAATGCTTTGTGCAGTCATAGGAAGGATTTGATACTGAGTATTCCTATAATTGCTGGAATAACTAATCAGTAAGTGTGTGTGTGTGTGTGTGTGTTCCTTCAGTTTTTATAAACTAGAAAAGAATCAGAACAATTTCAAGATGACAGAAGGATTTTCTACAGAACATCTACCTGAAATGAGCATTCAAGAATATTCAATACTTACTCATGAAGTAAAGGGCGCACAACAGTGCTACCATGGGCATGGGCCTCATACATTAGTGTGTACAGATATGGAAGCAAAGTATATCTGGTATTGAGCACGTTCCTGGATATGTCTTCAAATTCCTTATTAAAAGCTACAGGATCTTGCCTCTAAAATTTCAAATAAATATAATAGTTAGATTTTCAGAAACTGTCACTCTGCTGCTACATCCACATTTCCTTGCTTTTTCTCACATGCATAGAAAGCATTAGAAAAAAAATTAAAATAATATATTTGTATTTTCTAGATGGATGTCAGTCCCACTTAGGTACATCAGACCAAAAAATCAATGCCACAAGAAAGTTAAAACTATTTTGATTTCAATTTGGTATAACAGAATCTTGCATATCTGATTGTACCATATTTTCTCTGCTATCCTAAATTCTTGTGAATTAGGGATATGTCTGTCTGAGCCACTTAATGACTATTGTGGACTTAAAATATGTTTCTAATTTCTTTAAAAACTGAACCATTTCTTTTTGTTCTTTCAACCCAGTGGGCTGCTGGAATGAATTATGTAAAGGAGCTCAAGACAGTTTCTGTTTGCCAATCTTCAGGATAACTTTCCAAAACGTAAGCAGAAAATTCCCAATTTGGAATAGGGGAGAATCCAGAAAAATAACTGTTGACATTGAATATACTTGATTGAGGGATAAAAAACAAACAAACAAACACCTGAGATCCCACCCCCATCCTTAAGGGAAAGAAAGAGGGGCAATAATAAGTAGTGACAATTATCCCACTCTCCTCTCCTCCACCATCTCTCCTAGCCATGTGACCATGAGTATAGTTTATGTACCCTATGCTATGTTTTCTGGACATTCAGACCAGTAGTGAAATGCACTTACTTTCGTTACATTTCCGCTATCGGAAATGTAAGTGTTCACCTCTTCTGCACATGAGCAGAGGGTCAAAAATGGGACGTAATGATGTCCCGGCAGATGGGCAGAGCCCTACCGGGCATGAGCCAGATAGATCCAGCCGGATTTCACCACTGATGCAGACCAGCACAAATACACAGACTCATGATAAGGAGACAGCAAAACCAAGTACAATATAGTCTTTGTTACACTGAAGGATACTGTATATACTTTCTAGAAAATTTACCATTCACGGATTAGTGGGCAAATTAGTGGGAAAGAATATTTCAATAGAACAAAGTCTATCTCATAAAGAAAAACCATGCAACAGATTGAATGGTGGACTAGCAGTTATCACTTCACAGTTCTGTCCACCTAATTCAGCAGTAAATATTTAAAATTTGGCAGGCCAGAATTTCTGGTCCTTTATCAATATGCAATAAAACCAGATCTTTCTTCACTAGTCTTATTAAGTATGCAAGTGTTGTTTCCTCCTGAATTTATTTCCCCACTTACTCCATTAACCTATTTTCTACAATATATTTCTAACCTTGCTGTTCTCCACTTTGGAATACAGCAGCCAGCAGAGGCCAGATCGGTTAATTTCTCTGCCTATTTATGAGATTTATCTCCCACTCACTTTCTTTTTTTTTTTTTTGCCCCTTTTGTTATAAACAACTATAATGTGTGGAAACATAACTTCTTAATTTTTGCAGATTTAAGTCAGCACTGTGTTCCTAGCAGACCCTAAGGTTTATAGAACCATATAGTTTGAGTCATTGGCCATTTAAATCAACTTCCATCTGAACATATCCAATTAACCAGAATCCATCATAAGAACATGATCTGTTGGATCAGGCTATATACCTTCTTACTCAGCATTTGTTTCTTATGGTGGCCAATCAGATGGCTTTGGAATTCTCACAGCAGATAATGGAGACAAATTCTTCTGCAATTGGTATTTGCAGAATATTAAAGTATCAATATAACAGTGCTTAGCAATGATTATTGAATACTACCAGCCAGGGGTGAAATGTTCCCGGTTCGGACCGGATCACCTGATCTGGTAGCGATGGATGCGAGTGGTTTGGAGAGCCAGTAGCAAAAATCCCACACCCCATGCCCAGCTGAGCCGCACAATCATCAGAGGCTTTTTTTTTTTTACTTTTAAAAGCATTTTTTCTACAACTTTGGCTGAAAAAAAATGCTTTTAAAAGTTAAAAAAAAAGCCTCTGATGATCGTGCGGCTCATCAAAAGCATTTAAAAGAAAAAAAGGGTTTTTTTTCTTTTAAATGCTCTGACAATCCCAGCTGAGTTCCCTGATCGGCAGAGGATTTCAGGGAACTCCGCTTGGATTGTCAGAGCATTTAAAAGAAAAAAAAACACCTTTTTTTCTTTTAAGTGCTCTGACGATCCAAGCGGAGTTCCCTGATTGGCAGAGGCTTTTTAAAAAAGCCCCTGCTGATCAGGGAACTCCGCTTGGATCGTCAGAGCCTCTTGAAAGCATTTTTAACAACCTCTTAGCCGAAGAGGTTGTAGAAAAAATGGTTTTAAAAGTAAAAAAAAAAAAAGTTGGCCACGCCCACATTACACCCTCCCACCAAGCCATGCCCACAGAACTAGTAGTAACAAATTTTAGATTCCACCCCTGCTACCAGCCCTAAATTAGAGGTATTTGCCAATGATTTGGTAATAATTTTGGGAAAAATCTCTTGGAATAAAGTAATAATGTAAAACTTAAAAGATTTGGGTGCAGTAGGTGGATTTTAAATCAATAATGAGAAAAGGAAAAATGTTAGGAAAAATATGAAGATGGCAGAGCAAAAATAACTGATAGAAAAAAGTGGTATATGTCATCTGAGAAATTGTCTAGAATGTATAAAGCCACCTCAATTTATGTTGGAAGTATGAACAATAAGAAGGTACATTTTATCATTTTAGGTGGATGTATTTTGGTTTTTTATCTATTATTGGTTTTTATTATTTAATTTTTCTTTAGTAAAAAATTAATTATATATTAAAAAATTCAGGGGAAACAGTCTGATTATGACTTTATTGTGTAGCAATAAATTCCATGGGCTAATTAATGTATTATTCCACAAGTAAATGCTGGTCCCCGTCCCCCCAAATCCATTTAATTGGATGCTCCTTGGTTCTAATTTTTTGAGAAAGGGGAAAAAAAAATATCTTTGACCAATATTGGAACACTGTCCTAAAGGTGCTTTTTCAAAAGGCAATTGGACTTTGTTTTTCCTTCTTCTTGGATTTTTGCTTCTCATTCCCATTCTTGGATGAGAAGCGAAATGTTTAGAAGGAAAAACACAGTACAGTTGCCTTTTTAAAAAAACATCTTTGGGACATTATGACCTGGATGACTGAGAATCTCATAAATATTGGAACACTGATATCCTGTCACCCCTAGTCCCTTTTTTCTCTAGACAAGACATAACCAATTCCTGCAACCATTCTTCATAAGTTTTAGTCTCCAACCCACTAACCATCCTTGTTGCTCTTCTCTGCGCCCTTTCCAGAGTCTTAACATCTTTTTTTCTATTGTGGTGATCAGAACTGGATGCAATATTCCATTCCATTTCTGTGTCACAGTCATTTTCAGGTTTTAACATCCTCAATTTATTTTCAACCACAAACACAACCAGTCAACTGATTATTCAAAATGCAATCTGAATAACAGTCTACTGTCACCCGTACTGTTAGGATACTTTTTCTCACATTTAATCTGAATTAGCCTTGGTATGATTAAAATCCATTATTCTGCATCCTGCACTTTGAAACAAAGGAAAACAGATCTTAACTTTCTTCTATTGACATTGAGTATTTGAAGAGTGCTATCATAGTTCCCTTCATCCTACTTTTCTCAAGGCTAACTATATCTCATAATTATATCAATTAATCATATCCTATATCAATCCTTAAGATTCAATAGTTTAACCTACTTCCTTAATTAAATGTTTTTTTGAGGGGACCTTTTTACGTGGAAGTATAGTTCAACGGTGAAACCAATTACTGAGAGATGCTGTGTACCCTGATGCTTTTGGATTGAAGCTAGACAACCATCTATCCAGAATGTCTTGAGTTTAGAGTCCTGCATTGGATACTGGATTTAATATCTTCAGTGGTTTCTTCCCACTTTGGCACTACTCTCCTCTGCCCCAAGAGCAGAACAAACAAGCTAAAACAGGGATAAGGATAGAGTGAAAGTAGGATGTCTGTGCAGCAAATTTACAGATGCATAGGAGGCACTTCTTTGTCCAGTGGACATGGACAGGTAGAGGTTTGTCTATCACCATCATTCACAGTCACACATGATACCTAGAAAAAATGTTTGAAGTTGACTGCATCAGCAAGCAACGTGGAATCACCCAACTTGAACTGTCCACTCACACAAAGTGTGAGGCTTCCAGACTAAGTGACTTTGGCACGTGCTATAGGCTATCTTGAAGCTGCCCAGTACTTGAAATACTTTGGTAAATGTTTCCAGAGAAGGCTGAGAAATGTTGTTGTTTTTTACTGCATCAATGATCCAAAGTAGTTTGAGGCTACCCAAATTGCTTTGCCATGGCAAATTGGGTAGCTTCTTAGTTTTAGCAAAACAAATCAGATAACCTTCATTGAATAAATCACTTTGCTGGAGGAAATTTTAGTTGTTTTGCATAAGACTAGTGTCTTAATTTTATTCTGATCCAGAGTTGCCTCCCTTGGCTTTGTATGTGCAGAGTGATGACCTTCCAACAGAGAGAAGTTTACTCCATTTTTTTTTCTTAATGTGTCACTTTCATCTTCCAAACAACAGACTTTCCAATCTGGGAAATGATTTTCCCAGATCAGAAGATGATTATCTGCATGAATTATTTGGTTATTAGTTTTCCTTAGTTATAGCATTTTTAAGGAAGTTCGTCCATGCAAATATATATATATTAACTCTGATTACTATCATGCCCTACTCATATGTAAAGATTTGGGAGCCAATCCTATCTCTCATATAGATCAAGAAAATGGAGATGACATAGTCTAACAAGATAGAATAGGATAGAGCAGCTGTGGGGGCTGTTACTCCTATTTATTTATTTATTTATTTTATTATTTATTTACTTTATTGGTTCGATTTATATGCCGCCCTTCTCCGGAGACTCAGGGCAGCTTACAATGCGTTAAGCAATAGCCTTCATACTGTTGTATATACCTGCTTAGTAGGGCTTTTGCCCCCACCCCCCCAAGTGGTGTTCTTTTTTATACAAAGTCAGCTTATTGCTCCCACAACCGGGTCCTCTTTTTACCTACCTCGAAAGGATGGAAGGCTGAGTCAACCTTAAGTCAAATTTAATCAACCTTAAGTCAAATTGAGTCAAATTTAAGGTGAGCCAAGGCTTTGTGCTAATGTTAAACTAGCCAAAGTCCCTGATTTAGTTGCAGATTTTACTAAACCAATCACAGTTATTACTTTTTGTTTAGTATTTTCTTCTTGTGTTATCACTTCTAATGGGGCAGACAAAAACATGAATAATGGCTTGATACAGCTATAGCATTTTAAAGCATTAACCAGAGGTTCTGCTGAAGGAAATTTTCACCACATTAGGCAATGTCAATACTAATAACCACATTTTCTAAACTTACTATAAATCCAATGCCATTATGATTTCTGGAATATGGATAAAAGGCACCCAACTGCATCCAACGAGCACACATTTCATATGTTGTATTGTCATTGAAGCCACAGATATCTGCCCCAGTCTGTACATAATAAAAATATTTAAATATCAGTCTCACTTTTAAAAAACAATATAATGAAACAATTGAAATTATTGTGAGTTAAACTTACGTAGGATATTCCAAAAAGGCTAAATTCCATCATACCTGAAAAAAAAATAGTACACTGTTTTAGCAAATGATTTGTCTTTTAATAATCACTATATTAACCTCTTATAGGACATTAAGGATTTTGTTTTGGTTTTAATTGGGGGTACATTCCTCAGTCTAAAGCCAGTCTATATTAAAATTACAAGTATTGATTGGTTCCACTCAATCTTCTGCAAGATATTAAAAAAAAAAACCAAAAAAAAAAACATTTGTTTTCCAGTGCAGTTTTCTGTAATAAACTTTGGCTTTAGTATAATTTTCTCAATGTACACATTTTATATATGTAACCTTCTGTAGTATGTGTTTTAATATATAATAGAGCCTTGGTAGTACAGTGGTCTAAAGCACCCTGTTATTAACACAGCTGCCTACAATTACTGCAGGTTCGAATCTTACCAGGCTCAAGTTGACTCAGCCTTCCATCCTTTCTAAGGTAGGTTAAATGAGGACCCAATTTGTGGGGGCAATAAGCTGACTTTGTATTAATATACAAAAGTATGAAGGCTATTGCTTAACGCATTGTAAGCCACCCTGAGTCTCCGGAGAAGGGCGGTATATAAATCAAATTAAATATATATATATATATATGCAATTTTATAATATATTCAAGATATTCAATGAATTTTTAATTCTAAGAGCAAAATGATATGATCAGGAGGCTATATTGGTAGATTATAATGAATTCTGTTACAGATTTTGTATCCATTTTGTTACATTTCATGTTTTACATTAAAAAAAACTGTTATACATATTATACAGAATTGGAAACTGGAAACTTACAGAAAATCCTAAATCCATCTGCTTTTCTTCAGAAGATAGACTAGAAGGATTCCCCCCAAATTGGTGATATATTTCAAGTTAGAATTATTATGCACTTTTTAAATTTAATTTAATTTAATATTACTTTATGGGTTTTTTCTTATAAGAGAAATTATTTATCAGTGGATTCTTTTTTTAAAAAAAATGCCCAATTACAAGTTTATTGATGAAGATACAATGCAAAAAGAAGTACTTAAGAGCTGTGGTGGGGCATCGGTAGAATGCAGTATTGCAGGCTAATTCACTGCCCAATGCCAGGAGTTCGATCCTGACTAGCTCAAGGTTGACTCAGCCTTCCATCCTTCCAAGATTGATAAAATAAGGACTCAGATTATTGGGAACAATATGCTAATACTCTAAACTGCTTAGAGAGGGCTGTAAAGCACTATGAAGTGGAATTAGGTCTAAGTGCTACTGCTATTGCTATTTATTCGGGGCATGTTTCATAAATGTAGAAGAATATAATAACACCACATGCAAATTCCAGAAAGTGCAACCTGAATGTTTTCCTTAATTGGACTCATTGAAATATAATTAATCATGTATTAAGTACATGATATAATGGTATAATGAGGAAGGAAAAATACTTTGTGTGCTAAATGGACCTAAGAATAGTGTTATGGAATATGAAAATATTCAGTTTCACATGCAATACTTTCATTGCATACCTATTGTGCTCATCTGGAAGAAAATATAAGGTGACAAAAATGCAATTGTTAAGTTTTCAATGTATTAAGACTGAAGTTTAATTCATTAGGAACAGAGATGATTAAATGTTCCTGATGAGTATTTTTCAGGATTTTTATTTTGTAATATTCAAAAACAGCCTATTTCATTAATTATACGTTGCTGATAAATCCAGAAATGAGGCACATAAATAAACCTGATGACTACAAAAATGTATGTAATCCACTGCAAAAGTGAGTAGATAAGCATTAAGAGTAACTTTATATTACTTATATTAAGTGTCTGTTACTTAAAGTTTTATAAACAGTATTTGTTTACATAAAACCTACTAACTGCATGCAATTTAGCTTTCACTTACCAATTATGGATTTGTAAAGTTGGTCCCATTTTGAAAAGTTATCACCTAACCAATGCCCTGCCCATTTGCCACTCGATGGATACGTTGAACGAGAAATGATAATGCCACGTTCCCCTGTGATACTATGCAGAGCCCTAATAAACAGGAATAAACCAACATTTAGGGTGAGTCATTAAAAACCATGATATATATTTAGAAGCAAAAATACAATGCAAATAGTTAAGACCATTGCAACAAGGGTGCAGCAAGAGTTTTAAATACAGACATGCAACCATTGTTAATAGGAACGCGGATATAGAATTCATAAAATATTCTAAATTTTAAATTTTAAATTTCAAAATTTTAAATTCTAAATGCCTGCAAATCAGATATTTGAATAAAGGAAAAGATATCCTTTTGTTCTGTATGCTATTTCCCTAACTTTGAGTTGAGAAACTGCTCAGAGTAAATTCTCTGTTGCAATATGGGATTTGGCAAGGCAAAGCTGAAAGACTTATTTGATATAGAGGTCACACAGAACTGATAGAAACTGAATGAAAGACAGTGGGATGATAAGGGGATGATCAAACAAGTATGGTTTAAACCCATTCTAAGAAATTAACTTGAGAAATCAGCTCACACAGGTTCTACCCTAATTCACATACTGATAAAAATGATGGAGACAGTAGCACACACATATTTGAAAGATTATGTTACTATAGCTGTTCTATTTAAAGTAGTTGTAGACCTATATGACATTGATCCTTAGTCTAGTCTAGCCTATAGGACCGACATATCCATAACTACTGAGGCAGTTGGGCCTTGAAATGTCTCTGGAGTTTTACAAAATCTTACAATCTTACAAAATCTTACAAAATCTTACAAAAGATTATGTATTTCTATCTTTCTCTCGGAATGAGTAAGAGAAATTCTTTCTCTCAGAATCTTTTCCTGCAGTGTTTTTCAACTGATTTTATTGTTGGAGATAATTCAGAGTGTTATTCCTGTTGTTGTTTTCTCTAACACATTTTTCTATCATGCTGAATCCTCTTCAACTGCCTACGCTTCCCAATTTGAAAAAGCTCAATTGGAGGAATATTTTCATTATATCGTCCCTTGGGATTTAATTAAAGAAGACTGCTGAGAGATGATTATATAGCAAAAGATATTCACACACAGCCCTCAGCCACCTTGTAACTAAATTAGTGGAATAACATAGCATTCTACTCATAATAATTCCTCTAAAATTCTATTCTGCTGGGAAAGAAATTTAGGAAAATATTCTCTTTCATCAATACCGAGTGAGAAACAATATGAAAAAATAAAAATAAAAAAGGAAGTTATCAATACATACATACATACAGTACACCTATTATAACATTATCCTGATTTCCAAACAAGGTAATGTTTGAGGAGTCATTGGTGTTCTCTGAGCTTGGTTGTTTTCTTTCAGACATTTCATTACCCAAACAAGGTAACATTATCAGTGCTAGTCAGCACTGATGCTGCTCTCATTTTATATTCTAGTGCAGGGCTGTTAAACTCCCAGGCTGCAGGCCGGATGTGTCACATGATACCCACACCCATGCTCGGTTTAATGAAGGGGAAATAATTCCAATACATCACATGATGATGCTGTGATGATGTGAATTTGACACTCCTGTTCTAGTGGCTTGTTTCAGTTTTAGTGGGAGTGATCTTGGTAGTTCTTTGGTTGGGCATTTTACTGTTAGCCTGTTTGGCTGTTCCTTGATTGGGGTATTGTTTGTTGCTTGATTGTTGGTCTAATGTTAATCTTGGTGTTAATCTCTGCTCATCTGGGTGTTGATTGCTGCTGAAATAGTTTCCTTTTCACTTGGTGATTGTCTCTTTCGAATGGTATATGGGTGTCTATTTATTTGTTTGTTTGTTTGTTCTGATGGCTGCCCATCTCACTTTGAAGTGAGTCTGCTTATAACATTAAAAGCAATGTAAAAATAAAATATAATTATTTCTAAAAACAATGAAAAATAGAATTACAATCCAAAGTAAAGTTGCAGTTAGAAGATGGGGAGAAAAGGAGGTGAATATTTGGGGTGGGGGTGAAGGTGGGATTTTCTCTTAATTCATCAACCACCTCCAGTGTGATACTTCCCCACTGGGCATCAAGTTAGCACAGCCTGGTCTTCAGTTCTTAGGGAAGGTCAAAAGAGTAGGAACAGATCTCACTTCAGGGAAGTGAATATGTTCCAAAGGGCAGGAGCCATGGTGGAGAAGGCTTTCTTAGTTGATGCAGCATGCCCCCTTTCTGGCACAGGTGGGGACAGACCAGTCCCTTTGGGATGAGATGGTTCCTCAAATAACCTGAATCCTGTTGTAGCTTCCAAATACTCTTCCAGGGTAGTCCTATGTAAAATGTTCTGCATTTCTAGAAAGTTCAGATTTTTTTTTTGTTTCCATGTGCCTGTTGATGGTCAATTTGCCCGAGTGCCAAGCTTCCAGGAATTCTCTACAGGTTTTGGATTTCATTTGGTACAGGATGGTCACATGTGATAGTGCAGGTAATTAGGAGCATATCAGGTATGTACCTGCAGTGCAGATAATTGGGAACATATCATGGTACACTCATGCAGTACTATTGGACTAACTCCCAATATGTTTCTGGGTATGAAGCAAGGTGGTTATTATTGCCTACGAAGGTCTGTATAACAAATAACTGTGTTATTTGTTGAACCTGCTGTTTCTGATCATCCTACTAATTCTCACATGATGGACGTGGTCATTTCCCTGAAGCAATGCCATCTGAGGGGATTTGGGAGAAGAACCTTTCTTATGGCAGTATCTGACCTTTGAAAGATTTTTTCCCCTTGTCTCTGATTGGTCTCTGACCCTAGTTTTTAATCTGTATATGCCACCCAGAGTCATATCGGTGGGGTGAATAGCCGTATAACTATCTAAATGTACACACACATACATTTGGTTTCTTTTGATTAGATATGTTTTTTTAATTATATATGATGTGGAGTTTTGTTGGTCTGTATAACTTCTGTTTGAGGAACACTGCTGGCATTGTAATTTTAAAAATTGAGCAACTCTCTGAGTCTTCCACACAAACAAATGAACTTCTGTCTAACGTATACTTTGATTGACCTTGATTACATTCCCTTGGTTTAAATTACACATCTTCAGTTTGTTTGCGTCCGTGTGTTAGACAAAAGTGAACCATTGTCACATCTTCAGTGGGGATACATGAAAGCCCACCTCCATCCCACTTGAACTTTTGTAAAATTTATTACTTCCTTTGAAAGCCTTCCTATAAGCCTCTCTAGCAAGAGAAGCTAAGTGGTGACAGCACAGGAACCAACCTTCCTGTGCTCCCTACTTAACCTTTATCTGAGGAGATCAGACTAATTTCCTCCCTTCCTTCTGATAGGTTGTTGTGTTTTGTGTTGGTGCACCACTTGGCCTTTCAGCGATTTTAGCTTTGCACTTTCCCTCACTCTCACTCTGTTTTAAAGTTTGACAATTTAACCTTTGTATATTATTTTTGCAGTTTCAAAATAGGATTCATGCTGGAGTGAAGGACAAGATAAATCAGGAAATATTTCATCAATAAATAAGAGTCAGAGGAGTGTCACGTATTCTGTATATTATTACTATTATTTTGAAGGAACTGCACATGCACAGAAACCCAAAATTTAATCCTTCATTTTCAGCTTCATCTAAGATATCATTTACATCTAGTGCTGAATTATTGTTTGCTGATGACATTCAAGTAATATTTGATCTAGCTGGCAACAGGCAAATCTGAAATTCATTCCTTTCTCATCAGCAGTTTTATAAAAGTTGTGATTGTCAATGAAATGTTAGATGCCACCAGATACAGTGTTCACTCAGGTGGACACTGCAATCTTTTTCCGCTTCTCTTTTTTCATGGCAATAGGAAACTTATCCAAAGGTCATTATGACTAATTTGGAGGGAAGGCTGTTTTCTGTTCATGGAATTGCAAGGTAAACAACCTAGATATATTATCCTTCGATCTGGCATTGTTTCAAACACAAAGTATCTCAATCAGGAATTAGTGTGTCATAAAGATGTTTAAAGGTAAAGGTTCCCCTCACACATATGTGCTAGTCGTTCCCGACTCTAGGGGGCAGTGCTAATCTCCGTTTCAAAGCCAAAGAGCCAACACTGTCTGAAGATGTCTCCGTGGTCATGTGGCTGGCATGACTAAACGCCAAAGATCACGGAACGCTGTTACCTTCCCACCAAAGGTGGTCTCTATTTTTCTACTTGCATTTTTACATGCTTTTGAACTGCTAGGTTGGTAGAAGCTGGGACAAGTAGCAGGAGCTCACCCTGTTACAAGGTACTAGGGATTTGAACCACTGAACTGCCAACCTTTCGATCGACACACTCAGCATTTTAGCCACTGAGCCACCATGTCTCAAAGATGTTTGGGAACAGACAAAATACAGTGTTAAAGCACTAGTATTTGTCTGTTTTTGTCCTTTATATCTACCCTCTTGCCCCTCTTTAACATTTGCCTTTTTTAAAAAAAGTGAATTGCTAAGATTATTAATTTATGAACGTGTATACAGAACACTTAATTTAAAACAATCATTCTGCATATCCTACATGGAATCCTAGACAAACAATACCAGCTTTTTAATTAAAGCAGTCCATCACACACTAAGCTTGGAACAAGAGGTTATTTTCTTCTCCAATTCCTTGTGCTACACTCTTAATGGCACATTGAGAAGTTGAAAACTGTTTCATGTCATCAGTGAATGGCAGAGCCCTTTTTATTACAGTTCATGGCTGGTTCATCACACAGGAGTGTCTCAAGTTGGCCTTTGCAGATTATGTTTCAAAATGAATCCATCTCATAAACGCAATAAACTGTATCTGAAAGCACCAGGACAATTTGGTGACATGGGCATAAACATCCGTATTGAGCTGTATTCAAAATATTAGCTCGGTCATTTTATTTTAGAAACAGGTCAGCAACTTCATAACATTTTACAGAGGAAATATGTACAGATAATCGCTCACAACTAGGTGAATAGCTGGGTCTCTTAATATTCTGTCCCAACATACTTGCAGATTTAGTAAGAAGACAGCAAAGCATAAAAGGCCAGTCAAACTGGAAAGGTAAATGTCCCCATAGCACCCAGGTTCTATTGAAGGTTGAAGTTGTATGGTACTCATGGTACCTAGGAAATTAACTTTTTTACTCTGGAATGTCTAAATTGGGCAGAGGGGACGTGCTCTTTCTTAATAATGTTATTACAAGGAAACAGTGAATGAACATTACAAGTTTCATAGCTGAGCTCAGATTTCAATATAACCAAATGCCCCCTGTGCATACCTAGAACGTGTCTATAAACCACATAGGATATATTATCTTCAAAAAGCAGCTACGATATGCTGTGATTGTAGAGTTGGAATTATGGCTTGTTCTTCCTAACTAGTCTGCTACTTTCAAATAAAAGAGAGAATTCTGTCATCAGTATTAAAGAAATATTCAATCCATGAAGTGGCAGCAGCCTGTTATCTCAGACAGCAAAGTATCTTAGGCCAACTTTGTGTGTAAGTGTTGTGGCCTGTCGGCCACTGGCCCCTCCAGCAACGAAATCAGATGAGGAGGAGGCGTGGGAGTCAGGGTCAGCATCAAGGCAATCTGAGAGCTCCAAGGGGGGGAAGAGGGAATGGAGCTTGAAGAGAAAGAGAGAGAGAGAGAGAGGCAGAGCCTGGGCTGTCCGTCAGCCCCCAGATGGAGAGTCAACAGGCCCCAGGTCCAGAGGTGGCTGATGAGGAAGAGGAGGAACAGCTGGGTCCAGTGCCTGACGCGCAGCTGCGCAGAAGGCAGAGGAGAAGAGAACAGTGAAAATCTGTGCATCAATCCATGGGAAGGAAGAGCCATTGCTGCTAGCGAAGCCCCACCCTAGCTCTGGGGATAAAAGGCAGGTGGTAGAAATGAATAGATGTGACAGACAACTATTAATCTCCCTGCCGGACAGACTTGTTAGCCTGCAGTGAGAGAGAAACTTTTTGCTGGGGCTGCTGGCACTCCTAATAAAGGAATCTTTGAGTTAACTTCAGAGGGTTTGTCGTATTTGGGAAGCTGGGTCAGAACAGTAAGTTATAGCTTAGCCTAACTTTTGCACATTACTGGCAACTAAAGACAATTTCCTCCTTATAAAAGTAAGTGATCCAAGTGATAAATTTAGAAAGTAGTTCACTGGGATTTTCAGATACCAGACTATATTGCAAAATGCTATAAAGCATAATATTAAGGAATGACAAATATACCTAAGATCACTTGTTTGATATCTGGTCTATGGAAAAGCTATTTCTGCTGGACTTTGTTAAAGTGAGGAATTCCTTGAAGAGCAGGATAGAAATATAAAAATTAAAAAAATCCTTGCCCTTCGTATTACGTTCTTGGATATGTCAGTTATAGTCAGTAATTTCTGTTACAGAGATGGGTCTAAAAACAGATGAATTAAATCTCAAAAACTCAGATCATTTTTCAACAAATTTTCAATTGCAGGTATCTATCATACGATTCATCCTATAACTCTAGCTATAATGTTAAAGCATTTTAATATTCGCAGAACAATTTAAAAAACAACACATTTAAATGATATTATCCCTTTACTGAAACAATACAAAAAGAATTAAACTAATATACTGTACATGTGTAAACTTTTAATCTCTCATGCAAATTAACTCAAGTAAATTAGGATTCTACTGATTAAATGAAACAACCACTATAAACACTACTAAATAATTATTAAAGGGTTGCTACTACTCAGAGAAAGATTACTTACTCATAGGTAGGCTTAGTTTGTGACCACCCATATAAATTGTGGACATCATAATGTCGAACTGGGCTTCCATCAGGCAGAATTTGTTCACTTTCCATACATATGGTTTTCTCATTCAGTCCCACATGTTTTCCCAGAATGGCTGATAAAAATATTAATTAATTAATTAATTCAAGAAAGTTAACAGAACCAGATAAATCTATGTCTGAAATTTAAAAATGTAAATTTCTACTCTTTTAGATAAAATATTTTATATGGCTTGGCCTTCAGTGATTTTACATCTGTGAAATATTGTATACACAACATGCATAATAAATTTGTGACAAAACTTAGCCAAAAGTATATGGAAGAACTAGAACTGTGATGGCGAACCTATGGCACGGTTGCCACAGGTGGCACGTGGAGCCATATCTGAGGGCACACGAGCATTGCCCTAGCTCAGCTCCAGCATACATGTGCCCGCTGGCCAGCTGATTTTCAGGCCTTCCGGGCCCACTGGAAGTTGGGAAATGGGCTGTTTCCGGCCTCCGGAAGGCCTCCGGGGGGTGTTGAGGAAGGCCGTTTTTGCCCTCCCCAGGCTCCTAGAAAGCCTCTGGAGCCTGGGGAGAGTGAAAAATGGGCCCACTGTGCCATCGCGTGCCAAAAGCAGGGGGAGCGCGGGGGGAGCATGTGCACATTTGCGGAAGGGTGGGGCACGGGTGTGCATTGAATTATGGGTGTGGGCATGCACGCACACGATCCCCCCGCTTTCCCCCCTGCTTTTGGCACACGATGGCAAAAAGGTTAGCCATCACTGAGCTAGAATAATAGCACTATTTCCAAAATACTTTTACCAGCATCATGTGTTTGACTGAATCTAAAAATGTTCATTTTAGAAAGTTTGGCTTAATATAAATTCAGGGTGTGTTAATATTTTGGCCTCATATTTACCAACATTCCAAAAGATTAGAATCCTGTATTATAATTATAATTACCTGGCATATATATTGGATTATTTAGTTCAGAGCTCCTACAACCAGTAACTGCACCATTGACAAAACTTGCAGGTTCATTCATATCCTTAAATAATAAAATGAATAAGACACACAGACTGTTAATTAAAATTTTCACTGACTTTTTATGAAGTATATACCTAATATTATAGCTAGATGATTCATTTGAAAATTGTATGCAAATTTTGAATGAAATTTGTCAGATGTAAATGCCTTATTCCCTAATGTGTAAATAATGTATATATGGGATATCAGGGGTTAACTTATTCTTTGTTTCCTAATGTATTCATAATTCACCACTCCTACTCTTGGCTCCACCCTTTGTATATATAAGGAGCCACCTTCGCCATTTTCCTTGCTTCTATCTGTGAATATTCAGTGAATATAGAATGCCTACTATAATTAAAGAGAAATATATTTGAATCTCTAACTCTATATATTATTATTGAGTCTGATCCTAAAAATATTGCAACAAAATTATATTACTTGTTTCTAGTTTATATTATTCATAAAATTATATGAATGATGTGCTATGTTGAAATAAACTGTAAAGTCCAAGATAGCAGAAATTGACCATTAGCAAATAGGCACTACATTAATAAAGATTCTTGTAGAGAGCATAAGTTTGCAATAAACCTTTACATTCATTTGAACTGCCTGACTACTTGATTTAGAATGCTCGAAAGGATATTTAAGTGTGTGTATAATATAAATCAGTGTATATATGGAATAGAATGTCATACACATATAGATTAACATATTGAAATGGGACATGGATTTACCCATTTCTGCCAGTAAAAAAACCAAACTACAATCATTCATTTCAGCTGAATTATTCATTTTATTTAATGGTTTCTTTGTTTGTTCATCAAATTTCTATATTTTAGAAACCATTTCCCAAACTAAAGCCTTCCATATGAGTTGCATTAATAATGACTGGGAATAGAAAATTAGTGGGAATTACCAAGCTCCCCTTGGTAATGTAGTATCCAATGCAGTAAGAAAATAATATTTTCTTAATGTTAAATTAAATGTGATGTCTGAAAATGCTGATTAATGTAGAAAACATGAATTGGAAATAATGTTACTAAATTTATCAAATAAAACATTATACAAGATTATCATAAAATTATCTGCTACAATGTCAGTGATTACTTCAGCTTCAACCACAACAATACACAAGCACACAACAGATACAAACTTAAAGTGAACCGCTCCAAACTCGATTGCAGAAAATATGACTTCAGCAACAGAGTGGTCAATGCCTGGAATACACTACCTGACTCTGTGGTTTCATCCCCAAACCCCTAAAACTAACCTTAGACTGTCTACTGTTGACCTCATCCCATTCCTAAGAGGTTTGTAAGGGGCATGCATAAGCAGCAGCAGCATACTTTATTGCGGTCATAGACCAAAAAAACCAGAACATCCAAGACACATAGCTGGCACACGACCAGATTGAATTGCAGAACGGCAACAAGATCAGTGGTGGAAACCACTCCATCAAACTCACAGTTCATGTATTTTAAATTTTTAGCTCCAATCTATATGGACTATAGTCAATTAAAATTGTAATTGCAATTTGCATAAAATCCACACATCAGCACTTTTTACAACCACCAGCTAACTCAACCGCTGGCGATCAATAAATCTAACCTCAGTCAATGGGTCCAGCCCATCCCTTCCCCCGGTTCTTACATCCCAGGACTGCAGCAAAAATTTTTGCTACCTTTAGTGTAATCTTAAAATCAGTATCTTGGAGTAGGAGGCGAAGACTAAGATTTTCAGATAATCCAAGAAATCTTTGGCAAATGGGAGAGATAAGTTCTGACCTTACCTCCCGATAATGGGGGCATGTAAATACTATGTGAGCCAACGATTCTGGAGATCAGCCGTCACATAAGCAGTGGGTGGATTTCACTCCCCCTGAGCACCTGCTATCTAGGACATTCGAGGGGATCACAGTAAAACATGCCTTTAGAAAGGCCAAGCTGTATTTAACAAAGGATAGCATAGAGAGATATTTGGGGGGGGTGCATTCAGGGAGTACTGAGAGAAAACACAGAGGGGCATGCATAAGAGCACCAGCGTGCCTACTGTCTCTGTCCTAATGTTTCCTCTACTCATATCTACTTTATGTATTCAATTTATGCTTATACTTATATATATTACCTAATACGTTCTTGACAAATTAAAAAAAATAAAATAAAGATAGAAACTTACAATCCACAGGCCATCAAACTTGATGCTTTGTGATTGATCGGTGGGGTTATTGTAGACTTCTTCAATTTCTTTTTTCCACCACTGAGCTGTAGATTTCCGAAAAAAATCTGGGAAAGCAGTCCAGGCACTATAAAACTGAAGAGAAGCAAAAAAAATATAAAGAAAAAAACAAAACATTCCATGTATTAGAAACTAAATTTCCGTTGATATATACCATTTCAGACAAGTAGTTGCCTAATCTCAACTGAAAAACCTCCAGTGATGAAATATCTACAACTTCTGAAGGCAATCCCCCACTGATTAATTGTTAAGGAAATTTCTCTTTATTTCTAAATTGGTTTTCTGATTGATTAGTTTCCATCCATTGCTTCTTGTTCCGTCTTCAGGTTCTTTGGAAAATAGGTTGACTCCTCCTTCTTTGTGGCAGCCCCTTAGATATTGGAACACTGCTATCATATCACCCTTTAGAACTTTTTTTCCATTAAACTAGACTGACCCAATTCCAAAAAGTCACCCAGAAATCAGCAGAACTTGCTTATGAGTAAACATGTCTTGGACTGATAAAACCCATATGGGGTTTTGAATGTTCCCACACTAGAACTGTTTTCCATTCTCTAACAAATCCCCAGACTTTTTATGAAACTCTTCTCATGCAGTATGTATGAAAGAAAAGCCTGCTGAATCGGGTCAACTGGTCAAGTATTCTGTGTCAATAGTTCTTTTCTACTGATGCATCCGAGCAGCTGGTATTTAATAGCAGACACTGGTATTAAATACTATACAAGGTAATCAAGAGACTTTGCCTCATTATAAGGGGGATTGTGAAGGGATGTATATAAATTCCAATGGGCTTATAAATGAGTTCCAAAGTTCTTTGAATCTTAACCTTTGTATCTTTGCTGTGAGATTCAGGGAGCAGCAGCTTAGCTGTGTTTTTCTAATAATGCTTTCCCCATGTGATATAAGCTTTGTGATTTTTAATCTAACTTTAATCTGTCTCAAAATAAACCCAGAGAACTGACCATTCAGGCATTCAGAGATTATACTTAACAACCTACAGATCAGAGTACATTCATCCAGCTTCTTCCAATTGCAGATTTTCTACAATGCGACTGAAGTTATGTTGGTTTTTGCTATAATTGCTACTACTATTACCACTAAAGGGTTAATAGATTTTATTAGTATGAGAATTTGCTTGGGATCTTTTTACCAAGGCAGTTTATGAATAAATTACACTTACTTTCACTTTATCATCCCAGTTGAATGATGAATTTATAAAAATATTAGGAAGATATGGCCATACCTAAAAAAAAAACATTTAAAATAATTAGCTTTAAAAAATAATTAAAGAAAAGGAAGACTTTTTTCTTAGAAATAATCCACTGTCAAAATTCGTTTGCCTTTCATTGTTACCAACTTGGGCTCTTACCTGAGCGATGGACGGAATGGTGATGCAAGGATGCTCATCCCTTGTATGTCAGAGAGCTTGGGTTTATGGATTATGGGGCTGTTCAGTAATGGGAGTAGGAACAAATGGGTGGTCCAGCAAAAAAAAAAAAAGCTGTATCTTCCAGCTGTCATGTAGTTGGCATACATAACACAGCAGCTATCCTAGTTATTGTCTTTGTCTTGCATAGAAGAGGGTCTGCAATCTGCCTTAAATATTTCAGCTTTTGACTGTTTCTGGTTTCTTTCTTTCTTTCTTTCTTTCTTTCTTTCTTTCTTTCTTTCTTTCTTTCTTTCTTTCTTTCCTTCCTTCCTTCCTTCCTCTCTCTCTCACTTTCCCTCTTTCCCTCTTTCTTTCCTTCCTTTCTTCCTTCCTTCCTTCCTTCCTTCCTTCCTCTCTCTCTCTCTCTCTCTCTCTCTTTCTTTCTTTCTCTCTCTCTCTCTCTCTCTCTTTCTTTCTTTCTTTCTTTCTTTCTTTCTTTCTTTCCATAATATAAAAATAAAGATAGATGAGCATATCATAAAATGATCACAAGAAAACCAAGAGATGGGTTCTATCACACATTAAGGGCCACAAATCCAGGCCCAGAAATTGGTTTTCAAGGCCACACAAAGCCATTAGCAAAGGGCTAACCTAATCACAGAGAGAATGATATTCCAAGGATATGGACACATTACAGAAAAGCCTCTCCTTTTGGCCCCTGCCAACTGACTTTCATCAACTAACAACATCTGGACAATCCTATAAGTAACCAGTCCCAAGCCATGAATGGCCTTACAGGTGGTAACCAGCACCTTGAGTTGCAGTCAGAAGCACACTGAGGGCCACTGTAGCTTGCAGTACTAAATAACCAATGCCATACACTGCCTGCAACACTGAATGCTGCATCAGCTGATGTTTCTGAAAGTTCTTAAATAGCATGTTTCAGTATCCAGTTTGGAAATCAAAAGGGATTGAGTGACTGTGGCCTCAGACAATTCAGGAACTCACACAATTCAGGAATAAGTGCAAGTGATACATAATCATGCAAAGGTCCTCCTAGTCACGTCTGCCAAGTGTTCTCCAAGCAACAGTCACAAGTCCAGGAGGACACCCAGATTGTACATTGGGTCTGTCTGTGATAGTGCCATCATATCCACATTCAAAAATTAACTGTCTGTGGAATCAAACTAGGTAAAACAGCCTAGAGCAGAGCAGTGATGGCAAACCTTTTTGCCACCATGTGCCAAAAGCAGGGGGAGCATGGGGGTGGTCATGTGCGAGCATGTCCACACCCAGTATGCAATGCTCCGCCACATGCCATGCCCCCCATGCATGTGCGCATGACCCCACCTGCACTTTCCCACCTCCTGTGCATGCCCCGTGCCCCCCCCATGCATGCGCGCACAACCCCCCCCATGTCCCATTTTGGGCCTAGCAAGCCTCCCTGAAGCCTCCAGAGGCTGGAAATGGTCCATTTCTGGACTTCCGGTAGGCCCGTTAGGCCTGTTTTTCACCCTCCCCAGACTCTGGAAGCTTTCCTGGAGCTTGGGGAGGGTGAAAACAGCTTCCCCTGGCCATCCAGACGCCTTCCGGAGGCCCTCCGGAGGCCAGAAACAGCCCATTTCCAGACTTCCAGTAGGCCCATTTTTTGCCATCCCACAGCCTCCACGCAAGCCCTATACTTACCTGGCATCCAAAACAGGCTGCGTGGAGACTCCTGGGAGGGGAGGGGCAGCATGGGCATGCGCATGAATCTCCCACATGTGCGGCCGAGGCCCAAAAATCAGCTGGCCAGCAGGAGGCACGCACACATGTGTGGTGGAGCTAATCTAGGCAACAGCTCACGTGCCTGCAGAAGTGGCTCTGCATGCCACCTGTGGCATGTGTTCTATAGATTCGTCATCATGGTCCTAGAGTCACTCAGTTTTTCTTGGACTGTGCTGAAATCTGAAGATGAAATCACTCTCAAGGACATGATTATTTCCCTAAGGCCGGGAATAAGAAATAGTTTTCTTTAGCTGTTTTTTTATAATCAGAACTTGTTCTTTTTGTTTGGTTCTATTTTATCAGATCATGTCATCTTACTGGGAATATTTTTATTGTTTGCTTGTATCATTAGCTGTCCAGAATCAATTGAATTGGGCAACTTCTAAAAAGGATGGGAGGGAAGGAGGGAGGGAGGGAGGGAAGGAAGGAAGGAAGGAAGGAAAATAGTTAGCTATATTGAGTGCTATTCTTTGGCACAAATACAAGGTACAATATTACGTTTATAAAATATTACCTTTCCCCACATAATATCACTGCTATTAGGCCACTTAATGAAAACATCATCCCGAAGTCCTCTTGTGAAAGCAGGATAATTAGTTTCATTCCCTGAGATGGCTGGATCCTGAAATGAAAACAGTATGTCTTTAGCTTTACATCTAAATTTAGGAAGTACAACATATAGCACGTATAGTGAAAACATATCAACTGTGAAGATGGCAAATATAACTGCTATTCCTTCCTTCCTTCCTTCCTTCCTTCCTTCCTTCCTTCCTTCCTTCCTTCCTTCCTTCCTTCCTTTAAATTATTGTTGATTCCTAGTGACTACCTGGACAAGTTTCTGTAGTTTTCTTTGCAAGGTTATTGAGAAATGCTTTGTCATTGTCTTCTTCCTATGTCTAAGAGAGAGTGACTGACCCAACATCAGCCAGATAACTTTGTACCTAAGGCAGGACTAGAACTCATAATCCCTCTCTTCCTAGACTGATGTCTTAACTATTACTGGAGAACTGGAGTTCTATATCTCTATAATGAGATCAATTAAATGGAAGGGATTATTTAAAGAGTTCCCTGACAATTTACGAGACAGTCTGATGTAGAAGGACAATGTTATAAAGAGGCAACATACCTTTCTCTTGGAAGAACTTCACATTGTCCAAAAGTGCTTCCACTTTTGGGCTTTCAGAGCAAGCTCTATATACTTTCCTCATAAACTACTCTATAGTAAAGAGCACAAGATAAGCTAGAAAGTGTAAATGGGACTTTGAAGCAGAGGAGAAAAAAAAGACACAGTGGATTCTCTTTTTCTTAGAAGTGGTATTTCATCCAAATTTTAACTGAAGTAAAGATTAAATGTAAGAGATTTTATATCCTTACTATGGTCATAGTGAAAACAGGATACAGGAAAATCCTCAGTGCTTAAATATAGCATTCCAGCATCAATCCCAATCAAAGAATAGCACAATTCAGATAAAGAAGCTGATAAAAGGAATGGATGTACTTGTACTTCTATGTACTTCTATCATACTCAGTTAAACTCACAAGAAAAATCATGGTAGAAAATATTGGAAGGAAAGTAAAGGAAGCCTATCAGATACCATATTAATGGCAGTCACATTCACAATCAAAATAGTGGAGGAAAACAGATTGTTGATATGGTTGTCAGGAAACAGATAATCATTATACAACTTATTCAACAATACCTGGAATGAAATCTGCTGGATGCTCAAACTGAATTAATAAGGACCCAAGAACACACTAATAATATCTGATGGATGAATGGGAGAAGTGTACTTAGCATACTGACTTGCCAGTTGAAACATTTCTGATCAGGAAGAACAACTAAAATGGAATATAGGGAATCTAAATGTTACAAAACTGGGAAGGGGCTATGCTAAGGATGAATATTGTCACCTTCCTGTACTTATAATTTTTTATTAAAATTGCTGAAAGAAATATCTATAAGTGAAGAGAATCAGATAAATGACTTTAGGACAGGGGTGTCAAACTCACGGCCCATGGGCCGGATACGTCACGTACTGGCCCTGCCCCTGCCTGGTTTAGTGAACGGGGAAAAAGCTCCGATACATCACGTGATGATGCCATGAAGACACAAGTTTGACATTCCTGCTTTAGGGGAAATAGTCAAGAAAATTATATAATCAAAGAAGGCTGAAATATTCTTTCTCAGGAAACGGTAGGAAATTACTATTGTGCTCAGATATCTAACAAAGCAATCCATTCAGAAATACACATAACTGGGATGCTGGACAAAAATGGATGGATGGATGGATGGATGGATGGATGGATGGATGGATGGATGGATAATTGTGTCTGTGTTGTTATATTAACCAACTAGTCTGAACAATTATCACTTACCAAAATGATGACAAATCTCATTCCATCCTTTTTTATTCTGTTAATCAGAGCTGGAAGATTTGTAAAATTGGGACTTAAAGTGAAATCCAACTGCCGTTCCATGTAGTCAATATCAGCATATTGTACATCCTAAGGAAAACAGTTAATTTTGTGAAGTGATGTGTATTTTTTTATAACAAGCCCATTAAAATTATTCATTTTCAAATAAATAAATGAAAGAAAGAAAGAAAGAAAGAAAGAAAGAAAGAAAGAAAGAAAGAAAGAAAAAAGAAAGAAAAGAAAAAAGAAAAGAAAAGAAAAGAAACAAACATCAAGGAACAAAAGACTACTGCACTACTAACATTAGTCTTTTAGAACTTCTGTTAAACCCAATACATGTTTGTTTCTAGACAGGTAGTGCTGTTATTATCCATAAGAAATAACTGATATTACAATTTTGTCAGATTGACAATTGATCTCTTTCTCTTTTAAAATTTCTTTTGAATTGCTGACTTTTTAAATATTTATCCAGAGCTTTTAGATGTTTTAGTAAATCTAGAAAAGTTTTTGTTTAATGCTACCATAATTTAGCATAACGATAATGCATAGTTTCAAGTAATTGCATAACTCAAGTAATTTCATGATATTCTTTTTTTTTCTTTTGATAGAAAGCGGTGAAAAAATGCTTATTTGTGAATAACTTACATATGAGATATTAGCTGCTTTCATGTTATCATACAATTCAGATATTTCTGCATCATCTTTGTATCCATATCGACACAACTGGAATCCCAAACCCCAATATGGAGGTAAAACCGGACGTCCAACAAGCTAATAAAAACAAACAAACAAAAAGAAATAGGGATTATATGGTAAATGTTGTGTTGGTATAATAAGGAATATTATAATCATATTTTAGATTTTTTTGTAATATGGATTCTTACTGCAGTATATTCTTGAATGACTTGTTCTGGAGTTGGGCCCAAAACCATATAAAAGTCCAAAATTCCTCCAATTGTACGGTAAGTTAAAGCAGGAGTCGGCTGGAATTTTACCTCTGAAAATTCACAAAGGGGACATAAATATTGCATAGACCTGAAAATACTGTTATATAAAACCAATCAATGAAAATGAAAATCACTCCTCTGTCATTTCACCTCTGAGATGAGCAACCTGATGTACAATCTTCTCCCTTGAAATCGCAGGAAATGTGCTGCATCTCATCTGCTAACCACAGAGATATTTCCCAGCAAGAGGACCCATCTAACTGTATCAAATTATTTGCTTTGGATAAGCTATTTCACAAATAATAGTAATCTATTGTTTAACTTGGAATAACGTATGCTAAAAACATTTGTGATGGCAGGCTTATTTTTTATATATAGAAGTGGTAAATTGTTTTAGGCTATTTGCTTACAGACAGATAAATATTTAGCAAAAAAAAAGTATTTGATGTTTTCATACTAGCATCATGAACAGTGTAGGGATTGGCAAAACTCATGTCGAGTCTCATCTAGCCTATGAATTAATGTTCATTAATATGATATGCACTAGTTTAGAATAGAATAAAGCTGGAAGGGACCTTGGAGGTCTTCTAGTCTAGCCCCCTGCTTTGGCAGGAGATCCTATATTATTTCAGACAAGTGGCTGTCCAATCTCTTCTTTAAAAACTCAAGGGATGAAGTGCCCCCGATTTCTGAAGGCAATTTATTTAGTTTAGAATAGACACTAGGAAATGAACAACAACTTACCCATTCCGTTACTGTTCAGCAATAGGACTCCATGAGCATTGCCATCCTCTTCCAAGCCCATATAAAAAGGTTGAACTCCGTAAGTGTTAAATTTATACTATAGGCATAAAGAGAAAAAAAATGTCATAACTAAATGCATTGTTTAGCATATGCATTTTATTGCTAGCATGTGAATATCGATAGAATGCAATAAACTACATTCTCAATACAGCCTTTCTTTGTGTAGACCTAACTGAGTCAAGTGTGTCTCTTTTTTTAATATTTTAGATTTCTTGCCTGTCTTTATTTTAGTGCCCACTAAAATCCTCCTGAACTGCCTTCCAGCTGGGGATCTGGAACAATATTCTACAATGGTTCAACTTTTACCTAACAGAATAGTTCCAGGCATTGGTTTTGTGGGAAAAGTGGTTAACCCAATGAATAATTTTAAGGATGTCTCATGGGTGAATGCTCTCCTATTACTTTTCAACATCTGCATGAAGACATGGAAGAAGTCATCTATTGGTTTAAGATGATATGTCCTCAGTATGCAAATGATATTGAAAGTTACATAGCCCATCCAGTCTGGTCCTGGTGTTTGGAAATAGTTAGGATTGGGATTGGATGGGACAGACATATGTTGATGTCTGAAGCATGAACCCAAGGAATTGCTATTTGGTTATTGTGGTTTCCACTCCCTAAAAAGGAAGCACTACTTGTGAGAAGTAGATTCATAACTAGGAAGTCATTCTGGACTCAGAGTAATTGCTGGATGGGCTGGTGGAGATATGGCCAAGAACCTTTTGTCTAGCTTCAGATGTAGCCCTACAGGGATCTAACAAAATTATATATCACTTAGCTAAACTGTTGCAAAGTCTACAACTGGCCTGCTTTGGAAGACAACTTGGCTGTTGTAATTGGTATGGAATATAGTGGTTTGCTTATTAATTAGCACTGTTGTTGAGCACTATTACACCAATGTTTAGGCCCTGTATTGCTAGTAGATTTCCAAGTTAATTCCAAGTTCACCAACTTCAAATAATGCTTTGACCTATAAAGCCCTACTATGTTTATCTTGGCATAGATAGACATGCAGAACTACCCTTTCCACTTGACCCATACTACTATATATTCTAGGAAAAATGTTTGGTGATTCCTAAAGTGACTGAAGTTAGGCAGCTGATTCTCTGTTGTGCTCTAGTAATGTGGGATAATCTCCCCTGGAACTGAACTTTCCCTGTTATGAACCACTTTCTAGAAATTGATGAAGGTTGCACTTTTCCAGAGAGTTGTAATTTGATTGTATGATGCTCTGTGTTGTTGTCATATAATACTTTGTGCTTACTTTCTTATTGATTTATTTTATTTGGGATTGATTATATTCTAAGCAGTATAACTATCCCAAAAAAATAAAAAATAAAAATAAAAATTGTAACGTGCGAAGGGTTTCATTTATTATTATTTACTAGCATGATCATTTTAATTTAATTTAATTGGTTATTAATATTGACTACTGTAGCCTTTTAATATGTCTTTTGTTATGTTGCTAAATGCCTAGAGCCATTATAAAATATGGTGATGTACAAGAATGATAAATAAATGTATAAATTTGATTTTAAAAGAACTGTGAGGCATTAATTTATCTGCTTAGTCAGTTAAAATCTACAATAAATAAGTGGAGGTGAATTCTATCAAGAAAAAAGAGACTTACTCCAGGAGGCTGATCCCTTGCAAACATTGGCCAGGTTTTCCAATTCATTTCATGCCGGAATTGTTTATGCTCTGTTTCCCCAAACCCATATACAAACTCTGAAGGTAGGCGAGTTGAAATCTGAATGAACATATCACTGAAGGTGAAGCCAGGTAACTGGGAATCCCACCTATAAAGGGAGAAAAAAAGCTTGCAGTCAGAACAATGATTAAATGTTAAACTATAATTAAACCCAAACAAGACTAATGTTATGTTATGTTATGTTATGTTATGTTATGTTATGTTATGTTATGTTATGTTATGTTATGTTATGTTATGTTTGTTATGTTATGTTATGTTATGTTATGTTATGTTATGTTATGTTATGTTATGTTATGTTATGTTATTAAAGGTAAAGGTAAAAGTTCCCATTGCACATATGTGCTAGTTGTTTCTGACTCTAGGGGGTGGTGCTCATCTCCATTTCAAAGCCGAAGAGCCAGTGCTGTCCGAAGACGTCTCTGTGGTCATGTGGCTGGCATGACTAAACACCAAAGGCGCACAGAACACTGTTACCTTCCCACCAAAGGTGGTCCCTATTTTTCTACTTGCATTTTTATGTGCTTTCGAACTGCTAGGTTGGTAGAAGCTGGGACAAATAACAGGAGCTCACCCCATTACGTGGCACTAGGCATTCGAACCGCCGAACTGCTGACCTTTTGATTGATAAGTTCAGCGTCTTAGTCACTGAGCCACTGTGTCCCTTATATTATATTAATAATGTACAAAAAGTAATGCAATATGAAGATGTTGAGGTTTCAATCATTTTCAGGATAAAATAGACAAAATATGCCAGCTATTAGCAAAAAAAAAAGTGTGTGACTATACTAAAATAAAGATTTTTCTACCTTGCAGTAAAATATCATTGCTCTTGCAAAGAGGCCAAATACTTGTTGACATTTTCTAATACCATCAAAACACAAAATTTGGGATATTAAAACAAAAAGAGTATTTAATACTATGTGATGTTGAGAAATGGGGGAAAAACATTGCAGCTCTTCCATTTTACATATATTTGAGCTATCGACCTCACTTCTATACATCACTGATTCATCAGTGAATTTTAAAATTGCATAGCATTCAAATCTTGAAACAATTCTCTTTTAATTTCTGGATTTAGATAGCTCTTCTAGAGAACTGACATGTTCTTGAAAGGTAATTAATGAAAAAGAGACCCAAAATGCAGAAATGAAAGAAGCCAGATTACTGATAGTTGTACATTAAAACCACTGGACAGCCAGATTCAGAAATATTAGCAGTTGATAGAATTGTAATGGCACTCATCTCATATGCATCATAATAAAGATTAACAACACTAAGCAATTGCACTTGTATTTTAACATTTTAGAAAGGCCTAGATTTGTCCTTAGGCCAAGTTTAAGTCCTCTCAGTTCAGGAATTGAAAATAAATCAGCCCCAAAGTAGCCTCCAATTGAACAGCTCCAGTGAAAGATAATTCACAATTCTCTGTGGAACTGAATTAACTGTCAAACTGTTCTGACTCTGGAGAAGTTGCTTTCCAACACACAATTGAAATCTGCTTTCTTGTAATTTAAATTCATTATTTTATTCTTTCCATAATTCTGATACATTGATTCTTTCCCTTTTATTTTAGAATTATCTGGAGAAGCCCATTTTATTTTTCTTAGCATTTTCGTCTGCTTTGTATCTCATGCTGAGATTTAGTCTTTCAAATTCTGCATTTACAGTACCCAGATATCTATATGGACTCTTCCTTGTTCTTTTTCTTTCATTTCCTTTATGTATTTTTTAAATTAGACTTCCACCAAGGTTTTTTTTTACAGTTCTCCTTTTTTCCTCATTGAAGGTTAGCATCTATTTTCTTCCTGTCTCAAGCATCCTTTTCTATTAGCTTCTTCATTTTCCTATGGGTTCTCAAAAAAGAAAATGTATAAAGCACTGAAGAGGTTTTGATGTTCTTGTGCTACTTTCTTACTTATTTTTCTATGATGTTTGATCACGGCAGAAGAGAGGTAAAAGAGGTGATAAACTTAGTTGATTACCTGATGAGCATAAAAGAAACTGCAATTACTTTGATTAACATGGTGTTTACTGAATAGTTTAGAGTAAAGCAAAGTCTAGGGTATTTTAAGAAAAGTACAGTGATGTTTCAACAGCTCATGGAAAAAAAAATAATTGGAATTTTTATTGGAATGAAATGAAATTCAACTTGTCTAGTTAAGAAGCTAGTCTGTAGAGATTCTTGGTCATCCAGGTCATGGTTGTCCCAAAGGTGCTTTTTCAGGAGGCAAATGGACTTTCTCGGGGTTTTTTTTTCTTTTGAAGATGTTTCTTGGTGACCCTGAGGACACAAATAAACCTCCAAGCACTTCAACAATCCTCTAAAAGGATGCAGATGACCAGCTGTCTGCAAGGAATATAAATCCTTCCACTCCCCACTATCCTGTCAGAGTTGAAGAAGCTTTTTGGATGAAAAGCAAAGCATCTTCAAAAGAAAAAACAAGAAAGTCTAGTTGCCTCCTGAAAAAGCACCTTTGGGTTAAGAAGCTGTCCATTAGTCAATCAACCAACCAATTAATTAACCCAGAAATAATTTGATTTCCTATCAAGGTCATAGCAATAGTGAGGGGAGATATTAATTTAAGAAAAGTCCCCAGGTATCATAGTGCTGATAGCTAAATAATCCTTGTTAAATATGTGCAATTTTATATGTAGTTCATAGCAATTAATGCTATAGTCTATCCACAACATTCTTCACAAGATGTTTTAATTCACCAATTAAACATTTCCTCTATAATATCACATTTCTACTTACAGGACTGTCCCAGTGCTTTTGCGCCGAACTTGAATTCCGAATGGGTGGTTCTGAATTGACACTTCATAGAGACAGTTTTCCAAAGTACTTACAGGTGTTTGGGGAAGATTCAGAGGCACTGGAACTTCAAATCTCTTCTTACTATAATCATAAATCTGAAAATAAAAGTATTAGGTTTAAAACCTGGTCATAAAACATATATCAGAGAACTGCATGTTCGTTTTATAATATTCTCCCACTTAATGATGAGAAAAGTTTCTTAACACATCAAAAAGTTTTACTTGTGATCTTCCAACAAAGAAAAGAGATTCTAATCAATATGGAGAGGTGAGTGGGTTCCCTTAAGAAAATGTGGTCAATAAACTCCAGTTAAAATGGTAAAGAATCAAGGATTAAGAGATTTATATTTCTATTTATTTTCAACTTCTCTCGAATAAGAGCCATAAAGCAACTGTGGTGGGGTGACAGTGGGGCTATGCAAAGTGTGTGTGTGTGTGTGTGTGTGTGTGTGTGTATGTATTTGGATAACCAAAAGAATATTATAAAGAAAATTGCATATAGCTGCACTGAACAAATTGCATATCAATGCATTTCTGATGGAACAAAACTTGCAAAAAAATGTCTGTATTGGAAAATTGAAAAGAAAATGAATATTGATATTTCTTCACAGGTAAATAAAAATAAAATCACTGCTGCAAAAATAGGCTGAAATGAACTTGTGCAGAAAAGTTAAAATGTTATAAAACAGAGAACACAATGATTAGATGAAGATGCTAATAAGAATTAAACATGTATCCACCATGATACAATATATCAACAGTGCTATTTTTTCGATATTCTATGTTTCATATTTTTAAATCAGATAGTCTGGCAAACTTCTAACCAGATAGCCAGAATCAAACTGTTTATTAATAATGACAAAACCATCAATCTGTTTCCAAAGTGACCCATTATAAAATTTTAGAAAGAGGTTTACCTTAAATTGAAGCATGTTATTGTCATGATATTTTACTTCCAAACGAAGTTTGTCAATGAGAGGGATTTGCCGTCCTGAAAGTCTAATAGAGTCAATGTTTCCACCAAGATTGGCTGTTAAACCAGATGATGTATATTCAATTTGGTCAACTGTGTAACCATTCTCAGGAGGATAGTAGCAATATGGAACGTCAGCAACAGGAGAAGGCTAGTTTTTTTAGAAATTAAAAAGAATATATCAATGAGTGAATAGAATTGGAAAGAGATTAAATCCATAATTTCTGAATTTATTAGAGTCAATATTTACAATTAGTTTGCAAGACTTTTCCAAATCAGGTTTTCCTAAGCTACTACTGAATGCCTTCACAGAATTGTATAAAAATGGGGGGGGGGGTTGTTCCATATGACTAGACATACTGTTGTCTTACCCTGTTCCATAATTATATATTCATTTATTTTCTTTCTACACTATTTTTCCTTATAAAGGATCTTAGAATTGCTTATTGGAGAAGAGGTTACAGGGGCATCATATTGTAACAATGAATACCAAAATAAAACAAGAATTAAAACAATCAAACAAAATCATTTATTTAAAGTTGCAGACCATAAAGAAAAACAAAATAAATAACAGGCTAGGATCTAATCTGAACTTGAACTATGATTAAAAATTCAAAGTCAACTGTAGCACTGTCAGCAGTGAAATTGGATAGTTGGATAAAAATTTTAGGCCACTATTAAGATGTCTATCTTTAGAAGCATCCTTTGTCATTGGAATGGCAAAATTTCCATTGCCTATCCCACGGATGAATTGAATCAAGAAGCATTAAATTTCATAATTACTATGTGACATGAAATAATATTCAAGATAGAATCATAGCCTAATGTTAAAAACACCACCAAGTCTTGTTTGATCAGATTAAAATGATTCTGCAGTTGCTTTACAGACAGCTGAAAGAATACTTCTTGGAATTACTATGGGAAACAAACATAGCAAGTTATTTAGAAAGAGTCGAACCCAATATAATTATGGATTTTTAAGAACTATTGATTCAAGTAACTGAGAGTTAAATGGAGATTGAAGATGATTGGCATCTCTCTGCAGGAGGGAGGCCCTTTGAGGGCACCCAAAAGAATGCAAAATGATTTTATGCAATGTCTTTTTCTCCCTACAATATCTTGCTTCTTATGGAACAGGTTGAGAAATGCAGGGAGTTTCATGAATAATAAATAAATATTGTCCTATTCCATGCATTTTTTTGTGGAATTAAAGAGAAATTTGTTGGGGAGGAATACCAGGTAGCTACATCTCTGTCTACTTAGCTCTGCAGGAATGCTCAGCTTTAGTTGGTTTGTACCCAAAATCAATAAACTATGTGATTGGGCTTGATAAATCGACACTTACAGCTTGAAAATTAATGAGTAGTTATGATCGGCCTCTCCTATCCCCTTCTCTCCCTCAGCTTTGCCCTACAGAATTCTCCCCTATCCTATCCCCTTCTCTCCCTCAGGCTTGCCCCATGGAAACATATCCTATCCCCTTCTCTCCCTCAGGCTTGCCCCACAGAAGCCTGTCCTATGTTATCCTATTCTTTACAGATTTATTTTCAAGTTGGGAGGGGGAGTAGAACGTCTAACAATTAGCATCAGGGTGTGTTATAATAATATAGGAAATACTAATGCTCTGATGGTCATTTCGAAAAATCCTTTGAAAGTGAGCATCTAGAAGCCAAGAGGAACATACGTGGCAATAGCCATACCCTTAAATTTTCTCATATATAGAAAAATGAATGTATTATGTCTCTTTCTGTCCAATTCAATGATTGATTACAAGGGTTTTAGGAAAACACATATTCATCCTACATGGACTGTTTTAGTTGCCCTATAACACTTATAATGGGACTGCAAATCTTAAGCAGCATAACTTTTGCTGTTGGTAATGATAGCCAAGGGAAGCAACATTATGCCATCAGATATAGAAACTTGACTTGTATTGAAAAAGAAAACATAGATCATAGCTGGAGAGAAAGACGGGAGAGGTACAAGAGTTGTAATTTATCCAGAAATAATTCTGTTTATAAAAGAGAATATTTGTAGCTCAGTTAACCTGTGGAGTCCTTGGTGCTCTCTGAGCTTGGGAATTTTCTTGCAGAAGTTTCATTACTAAACTAGTTAACAGCATCAGCTCACTAATGATGTTATATAGTTTGGCAAATAAATGTCTGCAAGAATGTCCATCAAGCTCAGAGAGCACCAAGGACTCCACAATTCTGTTCGCTTTACATTTTCTTAGGTCACATGGAAACATTCCTAGATGTATTTCAAATTAATAAGAAACATACAACTATCTGCATTTTTCCGCATTATTTTCTATTTCTAGGTGGGGAGAAAGTGCAAATGATTCACCATTATAATCCATTCTAATGTGATTTTTTTACATTTTATTTTCACAATCAAGTGCAATTCTAATTAAGGTTATAGAACTGAATTACAGCATTTCAAAAATGCCTCCTTGTGGCATTACACCTTCATTTAATCCAGTTATACTGTTCAAAAGTAGGCAGTTAGGAAACTTCACAGTCAACTATTAATTCAACAAATATACTCAGCAAAATTCTACAGGACATTTAGGAAAAATTGATGGGGAGCTGCTCAGTTGATAAGCTATTTTCACTCCAATTTGTGGTTGTAGATAAAGAGGAAAAGAATGCAAATTCTGAAATGCGAATAAAAATGCAAATTCTCTACAAACACGAAATCTCTACAAACAGAACTTCAAAAAGCAAAAACACCTAAGAAGGACAAAATGGATTTTTTCCCCTTACTTTCCATATGCAGCGAAGAGCTTCACATTTTTCTTTTGACGCATGTTCTTCAGGATGACAATCAAATCTGTCAATATCTCTTAAAGTCTGCTTCCAGGATATTGTATGTTCTTCCCCCAATTTAAGATGAAGACCAGTTATGTGAGCAACCTATGAAATTCATAATAAAAACCAAAATACGGATCACATAAGTATCCCATGTAAATCACATGTGTAACTCTGTTTTTTTTAAAAAAATGGGTTTCACCACATTAATAAATAACAGCTTAATGTCTTTTTATTTATAGCACAAAAGCCATAAAGAAATATGAATAAAAGCATATTCTAGAAGTATCAAATTAAATAGAAACAGTATTCTAGTCTACTATGACTGTCAGGGTAACCTTTACCTTTTTATTTGTTAAATAATGTACAACTGGCAATTTTAATCATCTGGAGAAACTGACTTGTCAACAAAATATTGAAGACCAAGACTGTAATTCAAAGGGATTTGCAAGACACAGATATTCTGGGGGTCTTTTCAAGGTAGACGGGACAAGTGAGAAGGCAGAATTATTTTAGGAAAATGCTGAGACCAGCAGTACTGGGAAAATATTAACTTATGCCACATAATCAAATTAGAAGTGACTGTATGAATATTGATTTGAAATCCCTACTAGCCACCTGGTTATGGATATTAAAGTTGCCTATATTAGTCTCAAAATTTTCTTCTTAGTTCAATATGCAAAATAAAGAGAAATATTGAATGCATATTAAACCCCATGTCTCTTTTTGTGTCAATCTTTAAGGGATATATCAAAGTTCAAAGCAAGAACAAAAACAACAAAAAGGTTACAAATATTATTAAGAATCAAATTCTTAAAATAAAGTGTCTTTTCTTTGTGTGCCAGTCAAATTTGACCTATATGGTTTGGCTCATGGCCTAGCAGTTAAGATGCTGGGTTTGTCAACCGGGATTTTGACACCCAAGCACCATGTGATGGAGTGGGCTCCCATTCTTGCCTTAGCTCCTGTCCACCTAACAGCATACAAATGCAAGTAGATAAATAGGTACCACTTCAGTGGGAATTGCATTCCATTAGTCTGAGTATATAATTATGCTGGCCACACAGAAGCATCTTCAGACAATACTGGTTCCCTCAGCTAGGAAATGGAGATGAGCACTGCCCCTTAAGGTCAGACATGACTGGAGAAAACTTTTACTTTTTAAAAAAAAATGACCACGTTTTTCAAGTATAATCAACCTATCTGATATTCTTCTTGAGTGAAAATCTAGTTTTGGTCTCTTGTTTTGAGGTGAGGAGAGCAGAAACCTGGAAACATTGTTCCTTGATGATAAACCTTATCCTATGACGCATCCCACCTCTCATACATACATTCTGATGTCCTTCTGGAAGCAACTGAAACTAGTTCTGTTTTAAGAAAGCTTTCAGGGAATAGAAGGTGGGCTTTCTTAGCTCACTTCAGATTGTTATTCTTTGGTGAGCTTTTATACAATGTTACTTTTTGTTTTGACCTCTTTCTATGTTTATATTGTTAACTGCTAGGAGCCTGTAATTCTTATAGGATCATAAATCTAGCAATGTTCCCAAGCCATGAATTATTCTTTATTATACTCAATATCCAAAATTGTATTTGAATATTCAGATATTCTGACAGTTGCATGTCTTAGACTCAGTGCTGAAGGAGGGCAAAGTTAACTGTGCAAAGCTTTATTTTGCCATGCCTTGAAAACAGACGTAGCTGATAAGATTTGATTTCCTTAATAGTTTGATACATTGCTTTGTAGCTTATTTAATGTCTGCTCTTCTAAACAAATATCTTCTTAGCAAAGAATAGACATGCTCTTATGATCTAGTAGAAGAAATTTCTGACTTCAGAGTTTTGATTATTTAAGACTTGACACCTTCAGTTTGACTATGACATTTATCAAGGCTTGGAAGGATCCTGCTTGAAAATTGGAAAATAAAACATTAATAAAATAAATACTTCTTTTTAAAGCATTATGGCAGCTAGCAAAGTTAATCTAGCATAGGGGTATCAAACTCTATTTCATTGAGAGCTGCATCAGGGTTGTATTTGACCTTGGGGGGTGGGGGGGTGCCCCTGACATGAGGGGGTGCCCTCATGTCAGGGGCACCTATGGTGGTCAAGTACTAAGGCAGAACTTCCCTCAGACCATCCCTCACTCTCATTATAATCTCCTTCCTTCCTTCCTTCCTTCCTTCCTTCCTTCCTTCCTTCCTTCCTTCCTTCCTTCCTTCCTTCCTTCCTTCCTTCCTTCTTCTTCCCATCTTCCCTTCTTTTTCTTTAAGAGCTGAGGTGGCACAGTGGTTAAGAGTGCAGCACTGCAGGGTACTTTGGCTGACTGTTAGCTCCAGTTCAAATCTCACCGGCTCAAGGTTGATTCAGCCTTCCATCCTTCCGAAGTGAGTAAAATGTGGACCCAGATTGTTGGGGGCAATATGCTGACTCTGTAAACGGCTTAGAGAGGGCTGTAAAAGCACTATGAAGCTGTATATAAGTCTAAGTGCTATTGCTATTGTTATTTCCTCTTTCTCTTTCTCCTTTCCTGTACCTTCTTGCATGCTCAAATGCAAAAGAGGATACATTTCCCCTTTTGTTTTGTTTATAGTTTATTTTGTTAGCTCTCTGCCAGAGAAAATTGAGCTCGGGATCCAGTCCCAGGCTTTGAGTTTGACAGCCCTTATTTAGTACCTTCAAAAACTGCCTCTACTTGGCTGTGTGGACACATCTAATACTAGGACTGCCATTGGATATTATTTGATATGCATGCATGTATAGGTAGCTTTCAAAGAAAAGAAAAGACACTTCCTAAGTGTCTCAGTGAAATATCTAAAGGAATGTATTATTGAAACATTGTTTTTGACTACATTATAAATCTGGTAAATATACCCTTAGTGCTTATTTTTGAGTAGCAAAGATATTATCTGTGGGGGAAAAAACTTCATTAAAATTTATGAAAACACTCAGCAATGTATACCTTGTCTGCAGCATTGTACTTGACAGTCAAATTATATGATTGAACCACATTGTTTGAAGTTACTTTGATATCTGAAGGCTCAAGGGGTAGCCCAAGAATCTTGATGTTCTCAAATATCAGATTATTTGGATCTATGTAGCCTTTACGTATAACTGCCATAGTTAAGACTTTCTGCAAGACAGCAAAACCATTACACAACACTTTGTTCACTGATCTTAGTTATAATTTTCCATGAATTTGTATGATATCTCTTAAAGCTAAAACCATGTAATTAAGATATAAATGATAGCTTGTTGTAAATAAAGTACAATCAACATCCTTTGGAAAAGAAAATGTGTTACATCATGCAATCTAATTGCTATAATGAAATGAGTTTTCCCTAGCATTTAAATTCAGTAAGATTCCTCAATACTAAACCTGTTGATTGTATTTGTTACAAATAAGAGAACTGTTTAAATTAGATTCATGGATGCAGAAAAACAGTAAGGATTTATGAGGAAAATAAATTAGAGCTGTAGATAAAATAAAATAAAATCGAATATTAGTTTACCCAACACTATTCACTAGTCACTCTATAGCTTTTCATTCTTGTAAACTATATTTCTGTCCACCAAAAATGCACTCACTTTTCCACATATTGTATTAAATTAACCCAATCATTCTTTACACTTCTTGCTCTGACTCACACATTTCTTAAATATCCTTCATTCTGCTATTCCATATAAATCATAGGCAGGAATATATTTATATCAAAAAATGTACTTCTTTAAACAGATATTCCTTCTTCATAACAGGTCACATACTATCCACTACTTTTCTTTAAGAATTTACATATTTTAAACATATTTATCCAGTTAAAAACTGAATGAAATTTCTGGGAATCTCCATCACTAATGAAAACATACTTACATTTGTGACAGTAAAGTTATATAAGAGATACTTTTCATTTCTGACTGTATCTAAAACATATGGAGAAATACACTTTTAAATAACAAAGAAAAATATTAAAGCAAATTAATCAAATAAAATATTTTAAAGAGTTATGTAATATGCATGTAATAAATATATATTATTAAAATTCTGAATGATATTTGGCAGATCCACTCATAACTGGTCTTGATGTCCATCTAAATATCTATCTATAAATAATTGAACAGATGAAACAATAAAACATAATATCAATAGAACAACTGAAAGAACTGTGGAAAAAATAAATAAAATATATTCCAAGCTACAGTGCAATCTAAGGTAAAGTGATATAAAATGTTCTGTAAATGATATAGAACTCTCAGCAATGGACAAATCATACAACAATCAATGTTAGAAATGCCATAACAAAGAAAGAATATTTTATATCCCACCAATTTTGATGACATGTTGCTGAAATTCAGTGGTGTGATTCTAGGGCGGGGTGTCAAAATGGCAGCCTGTGGGCCGGATTCGTCACATGCAGGCCACACCCACCCCAGATCCATGAATGGAAAAAACAGCATGAAATGTCACATGACAGCAATGTGACGCCATGAGTTTGACACCCGTGTTCTAGGGTATCAGAAAGGGGCCAGAGACTACAAAAGATCAGCTGTCATTATACACATCATCTATGCATAGTTTCTAATTGAAGACATTGGTGTTTGGAAAAATGTGAGTTCCAATCTATCTAAACTATAAATCCTGGGGTCATGAGACCAAATTAGCTGAATGCCTCCATTCCAAAAAGAATTGCTATTATGGACACTGATTTCCTATCACATTCAAGATAATTTTATTTAATTTAATTAAAATAAATCACAGAAAAAATTTCCCCTTCCTCCCAAATGATCTAATTAACAATAAAGGCTGTTCATGGTGAAAGAAGAGATTTTAAAAATTATTAACCAGTAAGAAATGACATGCCTGGGTTGGTATTTGTCAAATAAATTCCTGAAAAAATAAACTATTAAAGTATCTTTTTTTTTCTATTCTAAAGATGTTATCCGTTGAATTTCTTTGAAGTGGAAGACATTTTTTTTCCCCATAATAACCTTTTATAAAACTATGTGACCCAAACTGCTTTATTATACAGAATAGACAATATATGCCTATTAAAATTCTAGACATAAACTTAATTGCTAAATATTATCTGCTCTTAACGAAAAAAAAAAAGTAGGAAATTTGCTAGCAAATTCTAAAGGGCAGGTAGTTTTGATTGTAAAATCATTGTGCCTACATTTTATTTATAAAAAGATAACATTTATATTACTTTACTTTAAATGAATGCAATGAACGCCTGCTTATTTTAGATCTTGAAAAAGAGTCCAATATCTTTGGGATACAATATCATCAGTCTACCTTAAAGGCATTCAGTATTCATTGCAGCAATTATCACCCAAATTGTTCTTTCCTTTGCTCTCTTTTTTAAAAATCATCTCATTATTTTGCCTGCTTTTTTAAATAACCACTGGTGACCAACAATTATATATGGTACAACACAAAGGTCTTTGAAATCAGAGAGAAAGGTAATTTAATAGATAACTGGTATTTTCCAGCACTTTAGAAACCATTGCTGGCAAGCAAATAAACTGCTGAATTATTGCTAAGCACTAAGATATCTGAGAATCTCCTAAAATTGATATCCTTTCCATATTTCCATAAATATCACTGCTACAAACCAGGAGTTTCAAATACCAATAAAGGAAAGTATTTGTAGCTCAGTGTTGAAATAAGAGGTCCTTGGTGCTCTCTGAGCTTGGTTGATTTTTTGTAGACCAGGGGTGAAATGCTACCGGTTTGAACCAGTTCGGCTGAACCAGTAGCAATAGCGGTGGGTGGTTCAGAGAACCGGTAGCGATGGCGGCACAAGGTTCCACCCACCTGCCCGGTCGTCGTTACTTCCTGGTTTTAACCAGGAAGTAACCTGGTTTTTTACCCTCTGCGCATGCACAGAAGGATTTGCGCATGTACAGAAGGTCCGTGTGCGCGCGACGTGTGCACTTCCAAACCAGTAGTGAAGGTAAGTAGATTTCAGCCCTGAAGTAGACATTTCATTACCCAAATTAGGTAACCTCTTCAAGTTGTTGAATATGAGATGGGCAGCAAATGAATTTTATAAATAAATAAACATCATGAGTGCTAGCAAAGAATGGTGTTTTCTCTCAGTTTATATTCTACTGATTTGCTCTGTCGGCACTGATGATGCTACCTACTTTAGGTAGTGAAATTTCTGCAAAACAACAACCAAGCTCAGAGAGCACAAAGGACCCTTTGTTTCCAAGTAGTTTTGATAAGATGAGGTCTTTGCTGAAATACTTGAACACGTAAGTGCCCATGATGTTAATGTTGAATTGAACATACTGAAGATGTATTTCCATGATTATTGGCATACTTTGTTTTGTAGAAAAAAAATGTGTTTGCTTGCCCGCCTCTATTATCTATCTTCCTATCTTTCTGTCTATCATCTACCATGTTTCCCCAAAAATAAGACCGGGTCTTATTTTCTTTTGGGCCCCAAAATAAGCACTGGGGTTTATTTTCAGGGGTTGTCTTATTTCCCCCACAAATATTATGGTATCTATTATGAGCCATGGTGGCACAGTGATTAGAGTGCAGTACTGCAGGCTATTTCCCCTGACTGCCATTTCACCAGGCTCAAGGTTGACTTAGCCTTTCATCTTTCCGAAGTAGGTAAAATGAGGACTCAAATTGTTGGGGGCAATATATTGACTCTGTAAAATGAGAGGGCTATAAAGCACTGTAAAGTGGTATATAAATCTAAGTGCTATTGCTATTGGTATTGCTATTAGTATTGCTATCTTTCTTTCTTTCTTTCTTTCTTTCTTTCTTTCTTTCTTTCTTTCTTCTTTCTTTCTATTGTTCTTCTAACATTCTATCATTATATCTATCACATATCTATTTCTGTTAGTAAATTTACCTCTTGTTACTCCATCATCCCAGAATAAGTCTCCAGTTGCTTCTCCATTCTCATCTAAAGCAATTATAAGTCCCATAGGCTTTGTACGGCTGTTAAAAAACATATTGTCTTTATTGGCCCAGATATTGAGAGCTTGTATAATAAGACTACATTTTCATCCGTTCTATTCTTCTAAAGATATCATGAAATAATTGAGCATATACGGATTTGTGATGGGGAAGGAGAATAATAATGGGGTGAAAGACTAATGTTTATTTGGAAATAAGTATCATTGTGTTAAATTAAGCTTTCTCACAGAAAATAAGCTAAATTGTTTCATTTGAGGTCTATTTACTATGAACCAAGGGGGACATCCCATCATAACCACAAACCAATTATAGGTGTATGTTGTTTGTAATTTCCAATTATATCCCATTTTATTGCCCATACAGTAGTCAATGTGATTAGCAGCAATCAATTATAGCACATGCTTTTGAAATTTCACAATCTGTGCACGCATTTTGGCAGACAAATGCAAAGTCAGTCAATCTCTTTTCAATCAATGACTTGCATACAGATGCAAATAAATGCATTTCAATGCTTCTGGAGAAAAATATAGTGGCAAAAAGGCTCTACTATACTTCACCTCCATTCTTATTGGTCAGAGATCCCTGGATATGATATCTACAAAAGTTCTAGAACTAATTCTAACTGCAGAAATGTATCTCTAATCAGCTTCTGGAGACCACATTGTCTGCAAAATGCTGTTAAAGCACATGAAGGCAGGACAAGAAGCAATGGTTGGAAACTAATCAAGGAAAGAACCAACCTAGAATTAAGGAGAAATTTCCTGACAGTGAGAACAATTAACCAGTGGAACGGCTTGTCTTCATAAATTGGCTGCTCCATCACTGGAGGTTTTTAAAAGACATTGGACAACCAATTTGTGTGAAATGGTATAGTGTTTCCTCTTGAGCAGGGGGTTGGACTAGAAGATCTCCTAGATCCCCTTCCAACTCTGTTATATTGTTATTCTGTTAAAATGTAGTACTGTCCTTTCTACCATGATTTTTCTGTTTTATTCCAGATCGATAGATAGATGATAGACAGACAGACAGACAGACAGACAGACAGACAGACAGACAATGGGTGGGTGATGGGCAGGCAGGTATAAAAAATTGGCCTTCCAAAATTGTTAATCAAAGTTTGGACAGAAAAATTGGATGAAGTATTTCTACATTTTTCCCGAAACGGGAAACAAAATCTTCAATAGTTTTTTAAGGGTCTGGCCTCTGAATAATAGGACAGTAATAATAGGGGAAGAGAAAAAATATGGCAGAAATTACCTTGTGTCTTGTGACATTATTCCTTAGGAAGTAATTGAAGTGTGAAAAATAATGTAGCCACAAAGCTACTGTAGAGGTGATTGTATAATGCAAGACCAGGGGTGAAATCCAGCAGGTTCTGAAGGTTCTGGAGAACTGGAAGTGGAAATTTTGAGTAGTTCGGAGAACCAGCAAATACCATCTCTGGCTGGGCCCAGAATGGGGTGGGAATGGAGATTTTGCAATATCCTTCCCCTGCCATGCCCACCAAGCCACGCCCACAGAACCGGTAGTAAAAAAAAATTGGATTTCACCACTGTGCAAGACAAGATATTAACATACCCTCCTTGACTCCCTTTTCACAAATAAATGCAATACTACGTTCCCAAGTTCCTTCTTGGAATGAGATTTCAAAGGAGCAAATTCTCCTTTCATCATCTTGAAATAAGAACTAATAAAAAAACATGCAGAGAATTTCTCTCCATACCAATAGTTGCATTTCCTCTGGACAAAACTTTAAATGTTCTAGACTTGGAAAAGAAATGTTTAATCCATCTGTAGAATTGGTTCATGCATTGTGAATATTTTGACTTCCTCCAAGCAACACTAATTGGTGTTGGGTATTTGGAAACAATAAGCTGAATCTATGCCAGAAAAAGGAGATTTCCATATCATGTTGGAATTGTGTTTGTAATATTGTACCCAAGAACTGGAAAGTCTGCCCAAATTCCTAGATGACAGAAGAAACCTTTCAACCCTCAAGAATAGTGGTCTGAAAAAAAAATCCTGATGTTCCTACCATATATTTTGGGTCATCAGCACTTGGGCTGCCTATCAGGGCCTCTGCTATATCTAACTTAAGTAATTAATATTTTCTTTTAGCATCTGATATCTTTTGTGTTACTGTCAGTGGTGGGATTCAGCTGGTTCTGGCGGGTTCGGGCAAACCAGTAGTTAAATTTCTGGCTGGCTCCACCCCTTCCCACATCGCCCCTTCCAGAAGTCTCCACATGGCCTAGTTTGGCAATCCAGGTAACTGCAGGGAGGCTTCCTAGGCCCAAAATGGGTGCAGGGTGTGTGGCGGGCCCCCCGTGGCCTGTTTTCACTCCCAGGAGACTTCAGGAAGGCCTCCTAGTCCCAAAACAGGGTGCGGAATGGGTGCCCCTCACGCCTGTTTTTGCTCCCAGGAGGCTTCAGGGAGGCCTCCTAGGCCCAAAATGGGGCATTATATTGCAGTTTGTTATTGTGAGGTTAAATATCAACTGTCTTTTCCTTCTTATATAATCTATTCATCCATCATCGGTGCTTTAAACAAATTAAATAGATGTCACAGCTGCATCTTAAGAATACACTAATATCAGAAAATACCTGTAAACAGTTGTGTTGGCTGGTTCTTGAATAGGAAAGATGTATCCTCCTCTAAGATGAAGTCCAATTTTGTTTTTTGGAAGGAACATTTGACACTCTTGTTTTCTGCAAGGTGCTTTTATACCCTATTTTTATAAGGAAACTAGAATAAAGGTTTACTATACTCATAAAATTGTTAGTACAAACTAGGATTGATAATCCTACAAACAAAGAAGAATGTATATATTCCTTTTATAATTGTAATTGGAAGAGGAAGAATGTCATGACTCTGTTTATGTATTTTGTATTATACGAAATGAAAAAAAATGGTTAAAGTTCAAGTCAATTAAAAAAACCAAGTTAGTATACAGTAATTCAACTCTTCTATTCATATTGAGTAAATTCAACTGTCACATTTATGAGGGGAGGGGAAGCCGGAGACATTCAACTTGACTCAATTTGGAATTTGAAATTTATCTACGAATTTTAGCTTCGGATAGTCTTAATGTGCTTCTTTAAAAAATGATTGTATTGCAACTTGTGTTTTGCTTTTGTTTGGTGGATAGTTTTAAAACATAAAATGCTCAAAACCCACTCATACCCTACATAACTTTCTTAGAAAGGCTAGACAATTTGTTTGATGTACTACTACTTTTTTAATCATCAAAGGTAACCTGATTAAAGCAATGCTTCAGTGAAAGTGAAATATTCTCTTTGATCCAAAATATCTAAGCATTTTGATTTGATCTTTTGTGTAGACTTTGCAACTGAGTACCCCTACAAAATTCTAAGCAGCTCCAGACCTTTGACACATATGAATTTTAAAGTGTATAAAAAATGATGTACAGATTGCTACACAGCAGAGTTAATTGGAAATGTTAATAGTATACTTTTAGGGGAGACATTTTGTAATAATAATAATAATACACTTACCATCTCATATTCATACCACACAGCATCAGGGATGTATGCTGTTACCTTATCAACACCCTGAAATAGTAAAAAGAAAATATTTCATTTATTAGCAACATCAAAGGGAAATACCTTGATATTATTTTGTATTTTTTTCTAGGCTGGAGGTAGATGAGGGTGAAAGTCTTTCTCTTTGATTCTTTTCTAACTTTCCTACTGGAAAAATTATTTGTCAAGCATTTTTTTCCATATTATAATGTCAATTGCTATTTCTACCACAAAATGTCCTAAATTGACTGTAGACTTGGAAAGTTTGGAGAATGGAAAGTGATTATCAAGTTGTCAATAGTATATGCTGGTGGATTTGTGGCAGAAATAGGTGTCATTTTGAAGCAACAGTGAAACAAGAAAAAAAAGAAAGAAATTAAGAAAGAAATTGAGAAATTAAGAAATTAAGAGAGAAAGGAAGGAAGGAAGGAAGGAAGGAAGGAAGGAAGGAAGGAAGGAAGGAAGGAAGGAGGAAAGGTGATTTATTTTATTCCATCAAACAGAAACATTTTAACACAATAACTTAATATTTGGCTTCCTCTAAAACCATTTGCTAAATTTCCTTTAGTTAAACAAAGGGCAAAAGTACTACTTGAAGTTTGAAAAGCTAATATTACTTGAAAAGCAACTGTTCAGACAAAATGTCAGGTCTGCCATCTTTGGCTTGGCGCCTTATTGGCATGGGGTGAATGAATAAATGAGAAATAAACCTGTCAGATACTGGTTCTATGGACATGGGGCCGAGGAGGCGGAATATGGCTATCCTCACCCTTGAGCTTTCTATCAAAGTCCCCATGGATTGGCCTGGTGAGAGACGGCCACCCTGGAAACTTTCGGGGTCGAATGATATGCACCTCCTTAGCCACTGTCGTGAGAGGACAGTGGAGCTTGGCAGCCTGACCATGGACTGGAATTTTCCCTACGCTTATAACATCAGTGGTCCCCCACCCTTGGACTGTTTCCCCTTGATAGCTATATGTATTCGGTGTCGGAACTCCTCACCCTGCGAGATTCTCCCCTCTCGCAGATTTGGCCCCCCACATTATCGAGGGCCTATCTCGATGACGGACTTTGGAGTCCGGAGAGATGGCATGGAGCAAGGAAGAATTTATGGGGCTTTTTAGGGAAATTTTTAAAGATTTTAAGGGGTTCTGGGGGAGGGGGTTGTAATTATTCTTTTAAAGATATTGGGAAGACGACTAAGGCGGATTGGGGGGGAAATCCACCAGGGTCAGAGCCGTTCCCGGCACAGGGTAACGATCCGGGGGGCACCGGACGAGGGATTGGGAAAGGGATGGGGGACGATATCTATGAGGGCTGTACCATCGGCACGGTGAATGGGAGGGGCAGATATGGCGGGAGCAGGGGACCACATCAGGTGCTGGGGGCTCGCACTTGCTGTCTGAGAGCAATTGCTTGCCCCGGTCCCCAAGGCTCTGCTCGGATACTAGGTGGCTTAGATACTCAGGAGCTGGGCCTTCGGCTGATGCTGTGCAATGCCAGGTCCGTGGTCAATAAGGCCCCCCTCATTCACGATCTTATACAAGAGGGAGGAGCGGACCTGGCGGGTATTACGGAGACCTGGTTGGGCCCGGAGGGTGGCGTCCCTCTGGTTGAAATGTGCCCACCAGGCTTCAGAGCATTCCATCAGCCGAGGGCTCAGGGGAGGGGCGGGGGGGGGTGGCGGTTATTATTAACGAGGATCTGGGTCCGAGGGAGACCACTGTGCCTCAGATAGCCGGATGTGAGTCCCTCCTTGTGAGGTGGGGCCGTGGGGTTCAGATGGGCTTGTTGCTTACGTACCTGGCTCCCTGCCGCGTGGCAACAGCCCTACCTGAGCTACTCGACGTGATAGCCACGGTGGCAGTAGATACACCCAGGCTTTTAGTCATGGGTGATTTCAACTTGCCATCCGTCGGTGAAACGTCTGAGGTGGCTCGGGAGTTCATGGCTTCCATGACGGCCATGGACCTGACCCAGTTAGTTCATGGCCCTACTCACAGGGGAGGTCACACTCTGGATCTGATTTTTGTCTCTGGCCAGTGGTTGAGTGGTCTTGTTATAGGGGATATAGACATGGAACCCTTGTCATGGTCTGACCACTCACTCCTTCGCCTAGATCTTCGAACCGCGACCCCTCGCCGCAGGGAGGTGGATCCAATTAGATGGATCCGCCCCAGGCGCCTGATGGATCCTGATAGGTTCCAGACGGAGCTTGGGCCATTTCCTGAGGATCTAGCACATGACTCGGCCGAGGACCTGGTAGCCGCCTGGGATCGGGCGGCTGGTGGGGCCTTGGACCGAGTTGTGCCTTTGCGGCCTCTGACCCGATGCCGATCCCGTGCGGCTCCTTGGTTTACTGAGGAGCTGAGGGAAATGAAGCGCCGGAAAAGACGCCTGGAGAGCGGTTGGAGGGCCAGTCTCGCTGAATCTGATCGAACACTGGTAAGGTCGCATATTAAGGCCTACCTAGTGGCGATAGAGACGGCAAAGTCTAACTACTTTTCCGCCTCTATTGCGTCATCAGGGAATCGTCCGGCTGCCCTGTTTAGGGTGACCCGCGCCCTGCTCCATCCAGGAGTGCGGGAGGATCCCTTAGAAGGCAGGGCGGAGGATTTCGGACAATACCTGTAGGACAAAATCGCCCAGATCCGGGGGGATTTGGACTCTGACTGGGTAGATCAGGGCAGGGTGACGAGGAATAGTCTTGAGAATGTTATCTGGGAGGAGTTTGATGCTGTGACTCCTGATGATGTGGACAGGATTTTGGGGAGACTCAGTGCGGCCACATGTTTACTGGACCCGTGTCCCTCCTGGTTGGTACTGGCTTCCCGGGAGGTTACACGAGGCTGGCTCCAGGGTGTTATCAACGCTTCGTTGAGTGAGGGTTACTTCCCCACCGCCTTGAAAGAGGCGGTGGTGAGGCCTCTCCTCAAGAAGCCGTCCCTGGATCCGGCAATATTGGCCAACTATCGTCCTGTCTCCAACCTTCGCTTTATGGCGAAGGTTGTTGAGAGTGTGGTCGCACGACAGTTTCCGCAATTCCTGGAGGAAACATCTTATCTAGATCCGTTCCAGTCGGGTTTCAGGTCTGGGCACAGCACAGAAACGGCATTGGTCGCGTTGGTTGATGATCTCTGGAGGGCTCGGGACAGGGGTTGTTCCTCTGTTCTGGTCCTGTTAGACCTCTCAGCGGCTTTTGATACCATCGACCATGGTATCATGCTGCACCGGCTGGAAGAGTTGGGGGTGGGAGGCACCGTGTTGCGGTGGTTCTCCTCCTTTCTCTCCGACCGGTCGCAGTTTGTGTTGGCAGGGGGGCAGAGGTCGACCTCGAGGCCTCTCATTTGTGGAGTGCCGCAGGGATCGGTCCTCTCGCCCCTTCTGTTCAACATTTATGTGAAGCCGCTGGGTGAGATCATCCGTGGCTTTGGGGTGAGATACCACCAGTACGCTGATGACACCCAGCTGTACATCTCCACCCCAGGCCACCCCAACGATGCCCTTGAAGTGATGTCCCAGTGCCTGGAGGCTGTACGGGTCTGGATGGGGAGGAACAGGCTCAAGCTCAACCCTTCCAAGACTGAGTGGCTGTGGCTCCCGGCATCCCGATATAGTCAGTTGACTCCATCACTGACTATTGGGGGCGAGTCATTGGCCCCCACAGAGAGGGCTCGCAATCTGGGAGTCCTCCTGGATATGCAGCTGTCCTTGGAGGAACATCTGACGGCTGTAACCAGGGGGACCTTTTGTCAGGTTCGCCTGATTCGCCAGTTGCGGCCCTTTCTTGATCGGGATTCCCTGTGCACAGTCACTCATGCCCTCGTCACCTCTCGCCTTGACTACTGCAACGCTCTCTACATGGGGCTCCCCTTGAGGAGCACCCGGAGGCTCCAGCTGGTCCAGAACGCAGCAGCGCGGGTAGTGACGGGAGCAGCATGGCGCTCCCATGTAACACCGCTCCTGCGCGAGCTGCACTGGCTCCCAGTTGTCTTCCGGGTGCGCTTCAAGGTGTTGGTTATCACCTTTAAAGCGCTCCATGGCATAGGGCCTAGCTATCTGCGAGACCGCCTGCTGCTACCGACGACCTCCCAGCGACCCGTGCGCTCCCACAGAGAGGGCCTCCTCGGGGTGCCATCAGCCAAACAATGCAGGCTGGTGACCCCCAGGGGGAGGGCCTTCTCTGTGGGGGCACCTACCCTCTGGAATCAGCTCCCCCCAGAGATAAGGAGAATCCAAGACCTCAGTGCCTTCCGTCGCGCCCTTAAAACCCATTTATTTAAACAAGCCGGGCTGGCTTAAGATGAAATTTTTAACTGTTTTTAAATGTTTTAAACGTTTTTAATTGGTAAATGAGTTTTAATTGGGCCAAATTTATATATCTTTTAATTGTTTTTAATATTTGTTCTGCATGTTTTTTAATCTGGCTGTACACCGCCCTGAGTCCTTAGGGAGAAGGGCGGTATAGAAATCCAATATAAAATAAATAAAATAAATAAAGTATATGATGGAAAATAGGGAGTTGGAAAAATGACAGCTTGACAAAGAACAGAGAAGCTCAGAACCAGTTTGTGCCAGTACTCAAGGCCATTTACCCTGAAAAGAAATGTGGATTACCCCAAACATCTCAGCATTATCAAAACCTCAAGGCAAATCTTCATTTCCTGAAGACAAACTGACCATAACTGGAAGGCTGGGATGAGGAGAAATTTTCTGTATCTTTTTAGCATGGGAAATTTAGTTCTAGTCTGACATTACTGCAGCCAACATGTTTTCGTAAAAGAACCTATTACTTTAACCAAATGCAATGAGAATCTTTCTTTCCTAAGGTATCAGACTGGGGCAGGTCTAACACAAAAGGAGATAGGAAGGAACTATGATGAAAAAGGACATGCTCATCCAGTAGTGAAATTCATTTTTTTTTTACTACCGGTTCTGTCGGCGTGGCTTGGTGGGTGTGGCAGGGGAATGATACTGCAAAATCTCCATTCCCACCCCACTCCAGGGAAAGATACTGCAAAATCCCCATTCCCACCTCACTCTGGGGCCAGCCAGAGGTGGTATTTGCTGGTTTTCTGAACTACTCAAAATTTCTGCTACCGGTTCTCCAGAACCTGTCAGAACCTGCTGGATTTCACCTCTGTGCTCATCTCGTTCACTCAATTATCTAAATTATTTTATTATTTCTACTGTTCTATTTATTATATAACAGAGATTGTGGTGCACGTCAGTATGTACTCACTGCAAAACATACAATTATGTATATTGCAACTTAATAAAAAAATTAAATATACCGGATCTAAGACTGGAGTAATAAGTAGTCCAGGTCCCCACAAGAATTGTCTGTCTATAGTCCAGGTGGCTTCATCGGAGTAGAATCTAAAGAAGTATTACAGAATTAAAGTTATGTTTTTCTTACTGTTGAATCTTAAACAACTATTTATGTATTGGGGACACTATTGACAATTTCAAGTATAAGAGTAAAGAGAAGGTTTCAGATTTTAAGACAACTCACAAATTGACATTGCCACATGAAAAATAGTACGATTAGAAACTTAGTTATGCTTTGATGAAATCAACGCAGTTGGATTCAATATGCAATATATTCTTAAACATTGTCTATTAAGGCTTTTAAACATCCCATGCCTTAATGAAGCTGAGACACTTTTAGTTTTGTCATTCAGACCGTATTTTGGATTAATGCATAAATATTGATATAAGCAGGTTTTTATACTGTTCCTCTTTCTTACTGATGGCTGTAATATCATAAGCTACTTTAAATATGCAATTGTGTTTGTGTGTATGCATAGACATCTGCATTCTATTATGCATATTCTATTTTATGTATGTAAATGTCCTGGTTTTCATTGTACCATTATCTCACCAATGTTTTGCAACCTATCTGCCTTTCCTTGCTTTGATTAAATCCAGATACAAGGCATCACAAAGGAAGTTGTTTTTTTGTATAGGAAGCAAAGGCAAGTAAGGAGACATAAGAATGAAGAAAGCCTATGTGTCAGAAAGCTGAAAAAGCAACAGCACTATCTACTACCTTAATAAAAAAAAATCAGATTAAATATATTATCAAAATAAACGAGAAAAAAAATCCTTCCTCCTTCTGAGAATAAGGTAAAAGCTATTTTGCACTGGAAGAAAATTTCTGAGCAATTGCAAAGTCAGATTTTAACACAGCTTTAGTATCTCCAAAAATATCCCTAGAATGTTAGGAAATGCTTGGGTTGTTGTGAACAAATTCCAGATATCTTCAAGCATCAGTGAGCTCTAGGCATACAGATGGTTTTTATTTTTCAGCAGTTTAGCTTGCTGGAAACTAAGAGTACTTCTCCTGGAGTTTATTAACACAACCCATAATGATTAATTATGATAATTGTCTATTTATTCCTGTGAGAATAAGCCTTATACCTTGCTATAATCCTCCATGGAAATGGAATCTAGAATTCCGGCTATGCCCTTCAGAATTCCAAAGCTTGCTTGCCTACTTGCTTGCAATATATATATTGAGGCTAGCCAATTGAAGAACCTGTTGTATCCAGTCTCAAGCATTGCACTGTGCCTCCTTAAATCCTCAAGTCAGACCTGATAATATTTAACACTTCATTGTTCTAATTTGCAGCAGAATAGAGGCATCCTACTTTCTTGTTTGGAAAACCTTCATAAAATTTAAAATCTGTAAAACATTCATCTGGGACAAGACTTTTAAAGAATTTAACTTTCTAATAATCTGAAATAGTATTGGGATCAATACTTGGAGTCTATAAAGGCTAATAAGAGCCGAGGTGGCGCAGTGGTTATAGTGCAGCACTGCAGGCTACTTTGGCAGAGATTTGCAGTTCAAATCTCACCGGCTCAAGGTTGACTCAGCCTTCCATCCTTTCAAGGCTGGTAAAATGAGGACCCAGATTGTTGGGGGCAATATGCTGACTCTGTAAACCGCTTAGAGAGGGCTATAAAGCACTATGAGTATATAAGTCTAAGTGCTATTGCTATTGCTAATAAATACTGTGTCTATGTGTGTCTGTCTATGTGTTTGTGCATGTAAGACATAAATATAAAAACAGGGATACATAAATATGCAAAGTGCAAAGTTCTTTCCCATCCATCCAAAATCTTAAAAGCAAGAACTTACTCATGTAGAACAGGTCTTGCAACTGTCTCTCCCCGAGCATGTGCTTTATAAAACAGGGTATAGAGATATGGCAATAAAGTATAACGTATTGTCAGGTAGTGTTTTGTTGAATTCACCAAAAGTGAGTTGTGTCCAAAATGTGCTGGATCTTTAGGCTAGAAATAATATTTATAAAGTTACTGAGGGAAAAAAAAGGCTTCAAACAATTTTAGAAGCTTGATCTAATTTTAAAATTGGTCTTACGGCATGTGCAGCAGCATTATGGTTCCTAGAAAATGGATAAAATGCTCCAAGTTGCAACCATCGTCTACAAAGTTCTTCTGAAACATTTTCAATGAAGCCACAAATATCTGCTCCAATCTAAAATGGAAGCATATTAAAAATCATTGACATACTATACGATATATCTGCATAAGCTGTGATGCTAATGTATTCACAAATTCTACATTAATCAGTTCTCAAATGACCAATATAAATTGATTTATACTGGTCTTTGATAGAGGTTTTAAAAAAATCTAAATCATGTTTGGATGATTGAGCAAAGAGAAATAGGATAGAATAGCAATGAGATCAGCCACTACTCTATGTAAATATTTGAATCTAACTTTTCTAAATATATTTATATGTATATGTACACAAACATATACACATATAAGATAAAGGTAAAGGTTCCCCTCGCACATATGTGGTAGTCGTTCCCGACTCTAGGGGGAGGTACTCATTTCCATTTCAAAGCCGAAGAGACAGCAATGTCCAAAGACATCTCCGTGGTCATGTGGCCAGCATGACTAAACTCTAAAGGTGCATGGAACACTGTTACCTTCCCACCAAAGGTGGTCCCTATTTTTCTACTTGCATTTTTTATGTGCTTTCGAACTGCTAGGTTGGCAGAAGCTGGGACAAGTAATGGAAGCTCACCCTATTATGCGGCACTAGGGATTTGAACCGCTGAACTGCTGACCTTTCGATCGACAAACTCAGCATCTTAGCCACTGAGCCACCATGTATGTACATATATACACATACATGGATGTATATGCATGAATGTATATACATATACATTCTATGATTAAGGCCTATGAAAAATCAATCGAAGTTATAAGAGACAGCCAGCTTTTCAATGCATATTTTTATAAAAGCACAAGTTCAAAAAGAAGACAAGCTTCAGGCTATAAGGAATTGCATGGTATAGTAGCCATTGCAATAAATATGTCTTCAAACAAACAAACAATCAGCCTCGTTTCAGAGTAAAAAAAAACAAGAGGAAGAATCTACTTTAGCTTTCCTTAAGAGAGAAGGAAATTCATATCACATTGCTGTTGCTTTCAGTAACTTTGATTCTGAGCCACTTTTAAAACTAGAAAGAAAATAATAACAGCGGTCTTATAAAAAAATCTATTGCCCCATCTATTCTGAGATACCTTTAAATCCATATTTTTGCTTTTAAAAATAATTTTGCTTTCTGAATACATCTTTCAGTCTCATCTTTATTCTTTGTATTGCCAAACTGTGAAGCTGTACAGTTTTGGAATTGCAGATCATACTGCAGGAGAGAATATATGTAGCTCAGGGTCGAATTATGGATCCTTAGTGCTGTTTGAACTTGCTTGCAAATGTTTCATTGCCCAACTAAGTGACACTATCAGCATGATGCTACATAGTCAAGTAATGAAACATTTGCAAGTAAAGAACCAACCTGATAGAGGACCAAGAATTCCTCAAATCATACAGCTTACCAAAGGATTACTCCAATAGAAAACAGATAGTGAGGCACTTCAAAGTATATAGTTGAAGTTTACTAAATCATATGTTGTGCAAAGCAAGTCTAAAGAATTGGTATGCATAGATCTCACCTAAAGGGATACATTAATCCAAAACTTTTTCTTACTTTATTATGCCAAAATTTAACAGTTGGACCAAACAAACTATTACAGTTAAAATAGCTTACAAAAGGATATCCGAATAGACCAAATTCTAATATTCCTGGTATAGACCATTTAATATCATTCCAAGTTGCAAAATTATCTCCCAGCCAATGTCCTGTGAATTTTCCAGAACCAGAAAATGTTGATCGGGAAAGGAGGAAGCTTCTACTATCACGGAAAATAGTCTTGAGTGCTCTGAAAACAACATACAAATGTATAGCATTAAGGAATAGCTTTATTTTGTTGGGAGGAAAAATTTGGAGAAAATGAAAGGCAGGTTTCAACATAGCATTTGTGCCTACAACAAATCCAACAAATTCTTGCAAAATTAACTTATGAACAGACTAAAATATGGGCCAGACTTTCAGATCACATCTTATCATTTGTGTGTAGTAAATAGATGGCCTTTCAATCCACGAGAAGGATTATGTTGTTGTGGTCCGCGCACAGCCTGCAGAGCTGGCAGTGGAGTTGGACAGCAATGAGGCTGAGGAAGAACATGGCCCAGTCCTGGGGAAGGCCTGGATGAGGGCTCTGCATCAGAGGCAGAGATGGGGCCAGGGCCATCGGGGAGTGATGTGCGGACTTCGGAGCCTCCAGAGGCTGAGGCAGAGGAACAGGAGGAGCCTATTCCTAGTGCATGTATGAGAAGAGCTGCCAGAAGGCAGGAGCAGATAAAGCAGAGACCGTTGAGAGATTTGCTTCTTGTTTCACTGTATTCATTTCTTGTCGGCGTCTTCTGCTTCTGAACTTTTGCCAAGAAAAGCCTTTGGCAGTTTGCCTAATTATCCCAAGGTCAGGTGATAAACTGTAGAATGGTGTTTTGAAGAATTTGTTTTAATTTAGTTTGGACTACGCTGAGAATGAGTTAACTCTCAGCTGTTCTAATAAAGTCTGTTTGTTTTCGAACTGTTTGTATTTAATACTAACTACTTGGGCCTGGGTCACAACATATGTCAATAACCATGTTTTGTCCAAATTGCAAAACTTTTAAAAGTAGGTTTCACTCCCGGATGGTTTTAGGCTTCACAAGGGGACAAGATCTACAGAGATACTAGTTGAGAGATCAGTGGAATTGTTGTGTAGTAAATTAATCACTTTTTCCCTAATACACATTCTTAGATTTGTATTCTTTTTGATTAGCTGTTGCAGTCCAAACTGAAACAAAGGAAATCTGGTACAAATTAGCTTGGATGAATTAAAGGGAAAAAAGAATGCATAATTCCTTACTTATCAGTAGCTATAGACATGAAATAGCCATAGAGGCTGTGAACATCATAGTGTTTCCCTGCCTTTTGGACTGCATCCATACAAAGTGTCTTTGAATACATAACTCCATCCAGAATTTCTGTAAAACAAAGAGATTTTAAAAACCCATTAAATTAAAAAGATCTCTATAGAACATTTCAATGTTTAGCTTTCTGGAAGAATAGACAAACAAATGTCAAAAAATTCCATTTTTTTTTAAAGTTACCTTTTTTCTCTTTTCTTTAATCCACTACACTAGGCTAGTTTTTAATAAGGTTAATATTCAATATTGAGTTTGCTAATTGAAAATTACTTGATCAAATCTCTAAATCAGTTTTCTGAATACAATCAGAGCTCGTATCAAATCAGATGCTTCCTAATTAATTCAGATACTTCTCTTACTAGAAGAAATGTTATTTACAAATAATTGCAACACAATTATATCTGAATAAAAAGGAATAAAATTTTCTAGTTAGATTGAATCAATGGTATCAAGTCTCCTGTTTGGGCAGAGGGTTAGACCAGAAGAGCTCCCAGGTTGCTTCTACCTCTGTTAGTCTGTATTCTGTATCAAATTAGACTTGATTTAATTCATATAGTTATAAATTATAGCAGCACTTTTTGCTGTAAGTGAAGTTATTTGTTTGGATTTTAAAATCCCCAAATAAAATTCTTTCAGTTAGAGATAAAGTGACAAGTTGTACAGTCATCTGACAATTTAGCAATTAGTTCTTTCTGTTCTTCCAGAAGAATCACTATGTTCAGGGGTGGGTTCTAAAATTTTTTACTACCGGTTCTGTGGGCATGGCTTATTTTGTGGGTGTGGCTTGATGGTCATGTGACAATTATTTAGGATTTAGCAGAGGTACTGGTCTACCAGGCTTTTAACTGCTTGCAGAGCTGTACCGATCTACCCATTTATTTTTGCAGGCACTGGTCTACCCATTTATTTTTGAAGGGACCAGTCTACTCATGTATTTTTGCAGGTGCTGGTCTACCCATTTATTTTTGCAGGCACCGGTCTACCCATTTATTTTTGCAGGCACCGGTCTACTCATTTGTTTTCTTTTAACACTGATCAGCTATAGGGCGGCCCTTTGAAGCCCCGAGGCAAGAGTTTAAACAGTTTTTTTCCCTCTAGTCATCACCTGGGACTCAGGAGGCAGCAATAGATTGGGGCTGGGGCCAAATAAAAGGTTAGAATAATGCGGGGGTGGGGGGCAGGGAGGCAGAACCGGTTCGGTGATGACATATTGTCACCGCTACCGACTCGGCAGAACCGGGCTGAACCGGGAGGAACCCACCACTGACTATGTTGTAGCAGATAGGATTTCTTTAACAATTGGTAAAGGAATCTGTTTCTCAAAATTTGTTCATTTGATTATTTATTTATTTATTTGTCAAGCATGTATTGGATAACATATTCTATGTAACAATCTTATATACACAGATATATGAAAAATCTAGCATAGAAAGTAAATAATTTTTAATTTATTTTTATATTTATTATAATTTTATTATATAATAAATATAATATTATTATATTTTATTTTATTATATATATTGTTATTATTTTATTATATATAAAACAGAATATTATAATTATTTATAATAATTTTAATTATTCTATATAACATATTCTATGTAACAATCTTATATACACAGATATATGAAAAATCTAGCATAGAAATTAAATAATTTTTGTTTCAGTTGAGAACTTACTTGGAGTAAAAGGTGGGTAGTTTAAATTGTTTGTTGCACAACCAGTTTTTGATCCTTTGACAAAATTGGATACTTCATTCATGTCCTATGAGAAAAGATTCATAGAAATTCATAGATTGGTAGTTGTGGACTTCACACATATGTCATCAGGACCCATGTTCTGTTCAAGTTTTTAAAAAATAATTTTAAAAAGCAACCACTCCTAGTAACATATTTAACTGCCACAATAATTTTCGGCCCAGCGAAGGTACCTATGGGTTAATAGAGAAGATACAGCAGGGGTGAAATCCAGCAGGTTCTAACAGGTTCTGGAGAACTGGTAGCGGAAATTTTGAGTAGTTCGGAGAACCGGCAAATATCACCTCTGGCTAGCCCCAGAGTGGGGAGGGAATGGGGATTTTGCAATATCCTTCCCCTGTCACGCCCACCAAGCCACGCCCACAGAACCGGTAGGGAAAATTTTTGAATTTCACCCCTGAGATACAGTATATGACTGACAGGTACTTAGTGCTATCTGAACTTGATTTTTTTTTTTTTTTTGCAGACATTTCATTATCTAAACTAGGTAATTGTCATCCATGAACTGATGATGTTACCTAATTTGGATAATTAAATGTCTGCAAAAAGACAACCAAGCTCAGCGAGTACTAAGGACCTGCCATTTCAACCCTGAGCTACAAATATTTTCCTCTAAAAGTATGACCCTCTTTCTAATAAACGGGTGTTTTGTGACTGACAAAGCCCATCGTGGCAACAATTTTCCTGAGTAGGCAAGTTTAATCTTTGAATCTGTAAGCCAGTTACAGAGAATTTTCAATGTCTGCTTATCAAATTCTGTAGTGAGTAGCAGAACTGAATGGTGTTATCAATCTAGTTTTTCAAATGTTGTTGTCCGTCTCAGTTCTCCAGCTCTTTAACAAGAGAGAGACAGCCTTCCTCCTTCAAGAGGAGACTTCTGTTGCTATGAGCAATAAATCACAACAACAGACTTTGGCTGATTTTATATGTAACCAGAAATCAAATTTTCTTAGTGTTTGGGTTGATAAACCACAAGAAAATTCTAAACCTTCAGGCTTAGACTGGGAAGCTAAGATAGCATCCTGGAACAAAGCTATACTGCTATGTTGTTGCTAGAAAAACAAAATGGATGTTTTCATGTAATCCCTTTGAACTGAGCTAGATTTAGCAACTAGATTTTACCAGCAACATTTTACTGTTGTTCAGGCTCATGAATTGCATACTTTCCTCCATTTCTATTCTTTGCTCAGACAATTGAACATGTCTGAATATGCTAGGCATGGATAACATGTATTTAAAAAAATCAAAACATTATACAATGTTTATATTCCTATGGAAAGAATTTATTGTTGCCTATGAAAAGAACTTAGAGATGCATATTTTTTGCTTATTGCTAAGTATTTTTGCTACTAAATATTTGTTTCTTCACTGTGCTAAATAGTACTTACAATCCAAAGTCCATCAAAATGGATCGTTTTGTGAAAACGGTTGCACTCACTAGCCCACCACTGAACAGCTTCAGGACTAGAAAAATCAGGGAAGACAGTCGTTCCTGGCCACACCTGCAGATTAAACAAAAAAAGTATAAATTGGTCTACCAAAGGATATAAATATTTCCTTAAAAATGGTTTTGCAAGATTCTAAGCAAAGTGAAACAAGTGGAATATCTGAGTAATCTTTATTAAAACCAAAACTTGTTATTTATGTGTATGGGAAGATAGCAAAATAGAAAAAGGCTAAAGAATAAAAACATTTTTTATTGAATTGTTTCTTTTTCACATAACTGTACTACTTCAAGAAATTGTCATCTAGACAACTTAGAGGATATCATAAATGACATTCGGCTTTGCTGTGTTTTTATATATGGTATATATAACATACTGCTGAGTTCTGTTCCAGTTAGTTTCTCTTAAGAACACCCACAAAACACTGACATCTAAATATGTCTCCATAATAAGATATATCTATCACATGCATATACATCTGGTTTTTTTAAATTTTTGTATGCATATATGTATAGATATACATACACATGCACATATGTTTGTGTGTGTGTGTACATATATATTTTGGTATGTATATAGAGACGGGGGGGGAGTGAGAGAGACCTAGAAATCATAGACTATAAGGCAATGCAAATCAGTTAATTCTTAGCAAATGGCTACCATCAAAGAAACCAACTTTTTAAAATCTCATCCTCCAGGATGAGTAAGTAGGTAGGTAGGTAGAAAATTCTGCTTGCATTAATTTGTAAATATTTTTTTCCTTTTCTGAAGACAATGTTCAAAACATCAAATTTTTCATCTAGTAAATATTTTCACTATAATGTAAAGAAATAAATGTGCTGAGGGAGTGAAGAAATTTGAATCTGTTACTATCAAACGCAAGATAACATTGATATATTAATTTAAATATTTTATATGACTGTTACACTTCTGCCTGGAGCCATTCTTCATGACTTATTGAGCATGATATAGAATGAATGAAATGTTTATACCTTCATAGTGACAGACCTGAACATTATGTAAGAAGTTACTAATAATATAATAAAATAACTTGTAGGTTATTAAACAGAGCAGGAAGATTCTTAGTAAGCTCTATTGAATCAGAATAGAGTTGGAAGGGACCTTGGGGGTCTTCTAGTCCAACATCCTCCTCAAACAGGAGACCCTACATCATTTCAGATAGACTGTCCTATCTTTTCTCAAAACCTCCAATGATGAAGCACCCACAACTTTTAAAGGCAAACTGTTCCACTGGTTAATTGTCCTCACTGATTTCTCTGTATTTCCAAGTTGCTTCTCTCCTTGATTAGTTTCCATCCATAATTTCCTGTCTTGCCTTCTGATGGTTTGGAAAATAAATTAATCACCTCTCCTTTGTGGCAGCCCCTCAAATACTGGAATACTGCTGTCATGTCATCCCTAGTCCTTCTTTTTTCTAGACCGCCATACCTAATTCCTCCAATCATTCATATGTTTTTGTCTTCAGACCCTTAATCATCTTAGTTGCTCTTCTTTGTACTTTTTCCAAAGTCTCAACAAATTATTATTATTATTATTTTGTAATGTGGTGATCAAAACTGGATGTGATATTCCAGGAATGATTCTTACTAAGGATTTATACGTCATGGAATGTTGATTCTATGCCTCTTTTTGTACAACCAAGGACAAGCTTTTTTGGCTGCTGCTATACACTGCTGGTTCTTTTTTAAGTGATCATCCACTAGGACTCCCTCTCACAGTTTTTGTTTTTGAGTCAAATTTTGCCTAATTTGAGCTTGTATCTTTGGTTTTTCCTGTCTAGGTGTAAAACCTTGTTTTTCTCTATATTAAATTTCATATTGATGAATAGGGTCCATTGTTCAAGTCTGTCAAGATCTTTTTGGATTCTGAGCTTGTCTTCTGCAGTGTCAGCTTAGTGTCATCTGCAGATTTGATGAATTCACCTTCTATTCCTTCATCTAAGATTTATGAAGATATTGAAGAGCACTGAACCTAAGATGGCACCCCACTGCTTACTTCTCTTCATGTTAATGTAGTATCATTAAGAACTATTTGTTGAATATGGTTTGTCAGCCAGTTACAAGTCCATCTGGTGATAATGCTGCCTATCCCACATTTTTCTCGTTTACCAAGAAGTAGCTTATGGTCTACTTTGTCAAATGCCTTGCTGAAGTCTAAGTATACTATGTCCATAGCATTTCGCTGGTCTACTAATTCGGTCACTTTGCCAAAGAATGAAATAAGATTGGTTTGGCATGATCTGCTTTATAACATCCCATGTTGGCTACTAGTTATAACTTTGTTTCTAGATGTTCACAGATCTGTTTTATTATTATTATTTCCAGGTCTTCCCAGGTATTAATGTTAGGCTAATTTGTCTATAGTTTCCTGGTTCTTTTTTGATTTTGTTGTTGTTTTTGTTGTTGTTTTGAAGATGGGAACCACATCAGCTCTTTCACAATCCTCTGATAGTTCCCTGGTGCTTCAGGACTTTTTGAAAAATATGGCATAATGGTTTTGAAATAACATCTATCAGGTCCTTCAGAACTCTGGGATATAATCCATCAGGCCCCCATGATTTATATTCATCAAGATCAGACAGGTGTTCTCTTGTCATTTTCTTAGATTTACAAAAAGTTATTTTATTTTTTGGAATATATCTGATAAAATAACTATTTTCAACATTGTGATTTATTTTCAATTTGATGATTGTGCCAATATTTACATTCCAGAATTAGATACAGAAAAGTAGGTTCACTACACGGTCAGAACAATCAACATGGATAACATTTATCAAAGGAGTTATGCCTTTCTCTTTTTAAGATCCTCATGCCAGAGAGAAAAAATATAGGAGGTTTCTTCAGAGTACTGAATAAATAAAATAAGTGGAGTGGAAAAGAGATTCCAGTTTTGCAGATGATTCTGGATTAGTATAATTTCCCCCTCCTTTCTCTTTCCCCATTTTAGACACTTATGTTAAGTGTCTTATGTTTAGACACTGTATGTTAATGTTCAAGTGGTCCACAACTGATTTCTAAAAACAGCAACTTACTTCCCCAATAAGAGGGCTTATTCCATCTGATTCATTTATCCACACTTTCATCTGTTCACCACGTTGATAGGCTTCATAAGGGGTATTGTTCATGAGATTATTGACAGAAATGGCTGGATCCTTTAACAAACAGAATTAAAAACGTTAAACCTTCTAAACCTTTGCACAATTATGTAACTGATTCAGTAGTGGGTTGAAAATCCTGTCGCTACCAGTTTGTTCGAGGGCACGCATGCACTTATGCGTACACATGATGCTTCTGTGCATGCGCAGAAGCATCCAGGTGGGTGGGTGGAGCCTCCTGCCGCTACCGCTACCGGTTTGCCCAATCCAGGTCGAACCAGTAGTAACCCACCACTGAACTGATTGTACCCCCTGTAGGAGAAAGCAGGAGTATTTTGCTGTGCAACAAAGCATAAAAAAGTTGACAATCTCTACTCCTCAGTGATGTCACCCTACTTTTACATTCCCTCATCATGACACTGTAGGGCAGGACTTGTAAGGTGACATCACAGAACATGCTCTGGTCCTGTAAAAGCCATCTTGTTTCTTGCTTGCAGCCCTGCTTTCTGCCACTAAATTGCCAGGTACCAATAGAGAGCAGCTGCTATGGCCCAATTAACATTCTGTTTATTTTTGCCATCTGTTGGATGTTTTTTTTAAAAAAAAAAAATCTGGGAATGGAATTACAATATCCATTGACTATTGATTATAATGCAGAGAGAGTGAGCAACCTTTTGGTATATTTAATTGTGTGGGAAAATCAAGGACCATCATTAAAGATGAAGATGTAAAACAGGTGAGTCCGTGCTGGCAAAAAATTGTTCATTTTTAACTTTTTAAAAACATTGTAATGCTTCCACCACACATTTCTTGTGCTTTTTGTTTTAAAATTGATCTATGATCCATTGAGCAACAAAAATAGATAAGTCAAGGAAGGTTTATAGAAAGTTGCACGGACTAGTAAACAATTACTAGACTCCTCTGTTCCTGAATAAAATAATACTGTTTCATCAGTTCCCATTACTTTTACTGAAACAGTTGAGATGGAGATAAATTTTAATACAAATAAGGAAGAAAAATAGGGAAGTTTAGAAGTAATAATAGCAAAAACTTCTTAAAGTTTCAGGAAGGAGCAGAAATTGTAATGATCTGGGTAGACATGATATTTGGCATTATAACATAATGCATATGAGCTATAATATAATATATATGAACCGTTGCGCATCATGGTTAGAATGCAGTATTACAAGCTAATTCAGTTCACTGCCAGGAGTTTGAGCCTCATTGGCTCAAGGTTGATTCAGCCTTCCATCCTTCTGAGGCTGGTAAAATGAGGACCAAGATTATTGGCGGCAATATGCTGATTCTGTAAACTGCTTAGAGGGGGCTGTAAAGCACTGTGAAGTGGTATAAAACTCTAAATGCTATTGCTATATGCAAAACAGAGGTGGGTTTCAGCAGGTTCTGACCAGTTCTGAGAACTGGTAGCGGAAATTTTGAGTAGTTCGGAGAACCAGTAAATACCACCTCTGACTGGCCCCATGCCCATCTATTTTCTGCCTCCCGAGTCCCAGCTGATCAGAAGGAAATGGGGATTTTGCAGTAACCTTCTCCTGGAGTGGGGTGGGAATGGAGATTTTACAGTATCCTTCCCCTGCCATGCCCACCAAGCCATGCCATGCCCACCAAGCCACACCCACAGAACCGATAGTAAAAATATTTGAAACCCATCACTGATGCAAATAATTGCTGATAAACTGTTTCAATAATTGTTTCACTTGTCTTTGAACTGTTTAAATTAATCAGAGTTACCAGTATGATGACATATTTCTGTCCATGGTCATGAAGGTCTTGGACAAATTCAGGGAGGCCTGCAAAATTTATCTTGTCATAAGTAAAATCTTTCTTATCTTCCATGTAGTCAATATCAGTATATTGAACATCCTGGAAAGAAAATTGCAGTCATTGTAAATGTTGAATTTTTTACACTATTGAAACCCAGGCATAACTGTGAAGAATCATCATTATCACCAACACCAAGATCATCATAGTCTATATGATGAATACCAAGAAAAGCATAAAGGAAAGAGAATTGGTGCTGATGAGCTTTTTAATCCAAATAAAATGATTGGAAACATTAATTCTATATCATATCTAAGTCTCCCTTGGACATAAGGCTATATAAAATATGATTATTGTTCTGTCTATAATATAACTCATTCTGACTGAGCATAAAGGTTCATTTGGTTTCTGGCATCCTGTTAACAATGTTATATTCAGAAAATTATATTTTCTCTGAAACTGCAACTCTGGCTCATTATAAAAGCCAATACCCCCATCCCCAATTTTCATTACCATAATAACTTGCTATGTAGCCACCCTAATTTTTTCTGTAATGTATATAAACAAGTAAAATACATTGATTTATCCTTTAATATTGCAAAGAAAATTGGTTTCTCCCAACACATTATTTTAACGGTAGAAAGAAATATATACGTTGTTATCTGATGACGTTGATGTTTTAGCTAAAGGAACTGTTCCTTGCATTAGCTAAGTTAAATATTCATAGGTATGACAAAATTCAGCACCTGTTCTCATTTTAATTCTGCAGGGTCCAGGGTAGACTTTTTTAAACTAGATTCCCAGCAAGTAAAAATTATTGTAAAATGACATTCTTGATTTTGTCCTCTCTGTATTGCCTAAACATTGACAATTTTATTGAAACCCTATCTAACTATGATCCTTTACTAAAACACCAGGATTCTAGGAGATATTTATAGAAATATTTCATTTCCATTGATTGGATCGAGATTCAGAATAGCTGATGTGGAAAAACCAAAAAAGCATTGTAATTTCCTTAGCCAGTGTGAAATCTATCAGTTATATCAAGAATAGGCAACCTACTACCAAAATTGTATGTTGTCCCAATGTCTTTTCTAGTAAACAACATAGTTAAAGGACAATGGAAACATTTCCCAATGTGTTAAAGTAGGAAGCACATAAAGATTGTACTAAATCCTAAAATATCCTAAATGTAGAAGATAACCAGGCTGAGGGATCAAATGTATATCAGTCTTGAGTCCTTTCATGCCCACAAGAGATTTAAATCCAATTCCTCTTGAATTCCACTGACTATTATCTACCACTTATCTATCACTTGCTTTGACTGTTAGTAGTTCAGATTCTGTTAGAGTGCATGCAATAAACTGCACAAATTACTGATTTCCTGCACTTGACACTGAAAAATATAAAAATCAAATACAAAATATCCTTTTAAAAAGTCCTAAAATATGTTTACATTTTAGTTACAAACGTTTTTTTTAAAAAAAATCCAGCTACCTCAAATCAGGAATTAAAGGGTATTATATCCTAACCCTGTCCACTTTGTAAATCAACCTACTCTTTGTGATCTCCTATTTTCTACCAAAAAATGTGAAGTGTATCCAAATCCAAAACATATCAATTCCTAGATTACAACTTCCTTCCTTCCTTGGTCTTTCTGCTGGCTTGTTTTTCCAAAGCATGGTGTTGTCACTGAATTAAAATTGGAACAATGACATTAAAAATTCCCACATAATTCATAGTTTCTTCTTCCATCAGAGTAACAAACAAAAGATTACCAGACAGTTCATGCAATTTTGATATGGATTTTAAATTGATAAATTTTAAACTATGGGCCAAATTTAATTATTTTAAATCTATTTTTCTGTATAAATGTTTTTTATTCTGGCTGTTCACCGCTCTGAGTCCGAAAGGAGAAGGGCGGTATAGAAATTCGAATAATAATAATAATAATAATAATAATAATAATAATAATAATAATAATAATAATATCATAAGAAAATGAGATCTCATAATAAAAATAGCAAAAGTCCTAGATATAGGTAAGAAAGAGACCTTAATTTGATTAAAATCAAATTTATTAAATGAGCATGGATTTGCTTCCCATGCTCATACTTCAAGGGAAACTAGCCATCAAATTATTATTATTATTATTATTAGTTCAATTTATATGCCGCCTTTCTCCGGAGACTGAGGGTGGCTTACAATTCATTTAAAAAAAAAAAAACCATTATAAAAACATTTAAACATTAAAACATTAAAAACCATTCACACCATTCATGGCTGGATCTCACAAGATCGCAACAGCGAGATCATCGGCCCCAGGCCTGCCGGAAAAGCCAGGTCTTCACCGCTTTTTGGAAGGCCAATAGGGTGGGGGTGGTCCGGATCTCAGGAGGTAACTGGTTCCACAGAGCTGGGGCAGCCACAGAGAAGGCCCTCCCCCGGGGGCCCGCCAGCCGGCATTGTTTAGCTGACAGGACCAGGAGGAGACCAACTCTGTGGGATCTTACCGGTCGCTGGGAGCTATGTGGTAGAAATTCTACCTTCAACATTATGTATCTTTCTACTGAACACAGTAGCACAGTCAAATGGTATCCCAGTCTTCAAAATAACTGATTTCCCCTCCAATCAATAATGTACTGATTTATTAATTAAACAGATATATGCAGCCACCCAATTCTCACACAGTGATTCCACTCCTTCTCCACCCGTATATTTCTACTTACATAAGGTATTCCAGCTGCTCGATTCCTTTCTACTACAGCTTTCACATCATTAAGATCAGTGTAATTCCATCGACAGATATGGAAGCCAAGATTCCAATAGGAAGGCATCCATGGAAGTCCTATCAACTTTACAATTAAAATACAAAACAAAATTTAAGAGGGGAGCATTTCCTTTTGCATTGTATTGTTTATAGAGAAGGACAATATTTTCTTGAAATGAAGGCAGAGAGGAAGACTACTGAAATCTCTGTACCATCATGCTATTGGACAAGACATATTCATATTGATTTAGTTATCTATGAAAAAGGTTTTCATAGATGTTTTAAGATGCCACCAGAATGCAGAAGAAATTTAGATTTTTGTTTTCCATTGCCTGAACCTAGGGATACAGGAGTCAGTATCAATGTTTGGTAGTACTTTGGGGTTGCATGAGATTGAACAGCAGCAACAACAATAGCAACAGAAACCTTCCTTCGGATAATGCCCCAAAACTACTAGTTAAGGATTTTCATTAACTAGTAAGAGAGGTTGGCTGAGATGAGATGTGGGATTTGATCTAATTCGGAGAGATATTCATATGGAAGTGACAACCAGGGGTGTCTTTTATAATTTTTGCTTGTGCATCTGATATATCTTTCATAATATAATGTCTATGAATATTTTCTATTGTTAGTTCAATAAAAGGTAACTGTAACATGCTCTGCAAAGCTCTTTAAACTTAGCTGGATTTTTATGATTAAATTTCAGGCAGTTATGGTTATATCTAGAACTAGCTGAATGCCTGCGCTTTGCTACAAAACTATGTGATCAGGTATGATAAATTGACACTTAAAGCCTGAAACTTAATGTAGAATGTGTAACTCTGTAGCATCAGAGCATGTTAATATAAGGAAACTGGCAGTTGGAACAGAGGGGGAGGGGAAATAGAATGTCCCAGCCTGCAGGCTGGATGATGACGCGCTGGCTACACCCATGCCCAGTTTAGCGAAGGAGTAGCATCAGAGCGTGTTAATATAAGGCAACTGGCAGTAGGAACAGAGTTTTTTTCAGGTGGGGAGGGGGAGTAGAATGTCTAGCTCCTTAGCATCAGAGCGTGTTATTATAAAGCAACTGGCAGTTTGGCCAGAGTTCCTTTCAGGTGGGGAGGGGGAGTAGAACGTCCAACTCCTTAGCATCAGAGTGTGTGAATATAATACTGTGTATGAAATACTAATGATCTGATGGTCATTTCAAAAAATCCTTTCTTAGCGAGCACCTAGAAGCCAAGAAGAACATACGTGCCAAATTTCAAGTTTGTAGGCTGTCCCGTTCTGGAGGTTTCGTGATGAGTGAATGGTATTTGGCTTTTATATAGAGAGATTTGTACATCAGATTATCTAATACTAGTCCTAACAATTACAGTAACTATTGTTACTAACTTTGATTAGTTGAAGTGACTTGGACATTATGAGTGTAGACAAGGATAGTTTATAAATCTTTTAATATAAACTGATATGACAATTTCACTCTTCTTCTGGGGATTTTCTTTGCATCTCTTATTACTGGATAGAAACAGAGCAGAAAGTACTATACAGATAGTATTTTCACTTACAGTGCTCCTAATCTAGAATTTCTTCTCAAGAAAATCAGATCTGCTCTTGCCAGCATAAACAACAACATACTGTATAGAGCTCTACTCTATAAGGACCAAGTAGAAATATGATAGAAAAACATACCAATAGATATTCTTGTACTACTTGTTCTGGAGTATTTCCTAAAAAGACGTAAAAATCTAAAATTCCACCAATTGTTCTGTATGTTACAGCAGGAGCAGGTTGAAGAGCAAAATCTGTTAGGAGAAATTCTTAGAATTAATTGAGACTTAAAAACAAGAATATTGTCTTTATTTTTACTCCTAAATTATTATGTAAATTTAATATATGGATGAATAGGAATCTTCCCAGGACTAGCATGTACCTTTCAAAGTTTTTGCATATTTCAGATTTCTGTTGGAATTCTCAGAATCCCAATATCCTTTTAACTGTCTAACAAAATATGCACTGTTCTTAATTGTTCCTTGAGAATCTCATAAATTTGAATGGACGACTACCAGTGTTTAGGGAGACTGAGTAATTTAAAGAAGAAAATTATGCTGAGGATTCCAATGTAACTATATACACAGAGGTCAATTGCATTTTAACATCTATAAATTTATTTTAGAGAACGTTATCTAAAGCTGTAATGACAGTTTTCAGTGGAGCTGCATAGAAACACATCTGAAAGAAAAACAACATAGAAACAATATGGAATTCTTCATACATATTTATACTGCCTTGATAGAATGCTTACAAATGGAACTATCAGTGTGATTTCGGAAGGAAAAGCAGTAATTTTATATCTGCTAATCTACCACGGCATTGCCTCACCAAGATTAAGGGGTTAATTTTGAATAGATAGGATCATACTGTTTCACAATTAGATTCTCACTATTGTTAGTTAGAAGAATGTAATTGGAACACAACTTCCTCAGAATACATGTATTAGATGAAAAAATGTGTAGTATAAAACATACCTGCTGATTAACTCTTGTGCATTTATCATATAAATACATGTGTAGAAAATTATTTAAGAAAGGCAGGTGATTTTTATCAAAATCATAAATAATTTCCTTACCCATGGCATTACTGTTCATAAGGAACACCCCGAATGAATGTCCACTCTTATCTTCCAGACATAAGAAGAAAGTTTGAGCACCATACAGGTTGCTCATATCCTTTGAAGGAAACAATAACCATATATAAATATTAAAGTTCATTAGAACTCCGAAGTGTTGAAATGGAATATCTTAAACTGCCTTGAACATGTATAATATTTCTATCAAGTTGTCATACTGCTAAATAGTATATGTGACTTGGTAACACCGGTGGCTTGGTAATCCAGACTAATTTATCCATAATTAGATATTGGCCTTTAATTTGAATGAAGAACCACACAGCATGTGTCCTTGAATTTAGACCAAAGATAATTAATGAAATCCAGTGTTTTCTGCTTTTTCAAGTATCTATTGTTAATCTGCTCCTTACCCTACTGTCTAAAAAGGGGTGTCAAACTCACAGCCTGTGGATCAGATGTGTCTTGCGCTGGCCAAGCCATTACCCAATTTAGCGAAGGGAGGAAGTCTTGATATGACACGTGATGACATTGTGACAATGCAAGTTTGACACCCCTGGTCTAGAATCAGTGGATCTACTGGTTCTATAACAATATAAATAATTTATTCAGGCACTTGACATAAGACTGTCTATGAAGACCATCCAAAAGCTACAGTGGGTCTAAAATGTAGCCTATTCAGTTCTAGATTCTTGCTGCTACCATCAACCCTTCCCTTATTATAACTCACTCACTCCATTGCAAAAATTTTCAGTTTGCTTGTTTTTGTTCATGAGCATTTTTTCTGTTTCCAATTTAATAGTTTTTTAAAAAGTTCTCTCAAGATTTTCTAATATAATATGCCTATATTTTAAATGGGTGCTATAAATTAAGTTTCTAATCCAAACTATGTCTGCTGCCTTTGTTTTCTCAGTTTATTCATACATATTTGTCAGGGGTGAAATCTACTTACCTTGGTTCGGAAGCACATGCGCCGCGCGCACACCTTCTGTGCATGTGCAGAAGGTAAAAAACATTATTTCCTGGTTAAAACCAGGAAGTAATGACACCCGGGTGGCAATCCCTACCGGATCGCTGAACTACAGGGAAAAATCACTACCGGATTGGGCGATCCAGTCCAATCCGGGAGCATTTCACCCCTGACATTTGTGCACATTTTTGCGTTATTTTTACTTATTCTGGAAGAGGGGTGTTATTTGATTTAATGTGCTACAAGTTCTATTGTGAAAACACTTTTTGAAGACCAGATTGCGAAAGTTATAAAGTAAAAGAAAGTTAAAAAACACAACATTTGTCTTCTTTGTCCAAATTTTAAAGAAAACAAAACACCTGGAACAGGACCTATAACTATATCTTTATAATTCCTCATCCCCCTCCTCCTCCACCACCAGTTCTCTACAGAAAGGAAAAAAAGGATTGCAAAAAAATAATAATACTGTACTGGAGTACAGGTAGTCCTCAATTTACAACTATTTGTTTAGTTGTAAATGCTCCAACACTGGAAATTTTTAAGAAGATGTTGGATAACCATTTGTCTGAAGTGGTGTAGGGTTTCCTGCCTAAGCAGGGGATTGGACTAGAAGACCTCCAAGGTCCCTTCCAACTATTCTATTCTATTCTATTCTATTCTATTCTATTCTATTCTATTCTATTCTGTTCTGTTCTGTTCTGTTCTGTTCTGTTCTGTTCTGTTCTGTCCATTTCATTATTTCATTTCATTTCATTTCATTCATACAGAATCTATTATGTTCTTATTTGTTTTACTTCAGAAGACCAAACCTGATACAGAATCAGAAGAAGACACTTACCCCATTAGGAAAAGCATCTCGGGTAAAAATAGGCCATGTTTTCCAATTAAAATCATGCCGATATTGTCGATGTACATGTTCTCCTACCCCATAAACATTCCAGCTAGGCACTCTAATGGAAAGCTGCAAGAACTGGTCAGCATATATCAGAGGTCCTATACTGGTGTTGAAGCTGTTTGAATGATCAAAGGTATTATGCTTTTCATAAACTGGATTTTTTTAAAAAAAGAAATGCATTCAATTCACATTGTATTCATACTAAGCATTCCTTGTGAAGAAAAAAAAAAAGCTAAGCAAAAGACCAGCATTTGTCTCAAGTGACATAAGAGCTCAAAATTGGGTCACCAGTAAGAGCTATAGTCACCAAGATAGGACACTACAGGACACCGGAAACATTTGGAAGAATAGATAATAGGTCTTTATTCCTTAACAGACATTGCTCACTTTCTTGACTGCTGCTGATGTATTATTTTAATTACCCCTTTTCAATATTGTGATAAGGATATTACATAAATAAATGATGGCAGTCAAACTTCCCAGAAGGATGATTACTTCTGATTCTTGCCTAAAATGTGCGACAACAATGAATATGCTAGTGCAGTGATGGCTAACCTTTTAATGTCGCGTGCCAAAAGCGGGGGGAGCGCAGGGCAGGGGTCGTGTGTGTGTTTGCCCACACCCATAATTCAATGCCCCTGCACCCCATGCATGTGCACGTGACCCTCCCCAGTGCTTGGCACGCGACGGTAAAAAGGTTACCAGTGGGCCTGGTAGGCCTGTTTTTCGCCCTCCCCAGGCTCCAGAGGCTTTCTTGGAGCCTGGAAAGGACAAAAATGGCCTTCCCCACACCCATGGAGGCCTTCCGGAGGCCAGAAATGGCCCGTTTCCCAACTTCCGGTGGGCCCGGAAGACCCGAAAATCAGTTAGGGCAACGCTCGCATGCCCACAGATATAGTTCCGCGTGGCACCTGTGGCACATGTGCCATAGGTTCGCCATCATGGTGCTAGTGGATACACTTACATTTCATGTTGAACAGATTACAAAATCTGGTATGAACAGTGCAAAAAGCATCTTCTGATCTTCTGGGATGCTGTTGAACATGCAAGCATCTTATGGCTATGAGATGTTTTCTATTACAGATGTGTACAGTTCAAATTACTGCATTTACTTCATTTTTTTAAAAAAAAATGTTTAAAAATTAATTGTCAATATATTGACAATAGGAGCTTCAGTAGCGCAGTGGTTAGAATGCAGTACTGCAGGTTACTTCTGCTGACTACAATTTGGCAGTTCAAATCTCATCAAGCTCAAGGTTGGTAAAACGAGGACCCAGATTGTTGGGGGCAATATGCTGACTCTGTAAACCACTTAGAGAGGGCTGCAAAGCACTATGAAGTGGTATATAAGTCTAAGTGCTATTGCTATATTGGCAACAGTTCTCAAAATGGGGTCTGAGGACCTCTGACAGTTCCTGAGACCCTTTCAGACAGTCTGTAAAGATAAAAATAATCTCTCAATGTAAATTTATAATACAGTAAATATTGACAGATATAGCCCACACAAACCAAAGTTGTTTGAGAGTCTCAATCTTTTTTAAGAACCTAAAAAAAGCCTGAGATCAAAATATTTGAGAATTCATCTCAGATTCATTTCATTACAATTAAAATACAATTAATATACAATTCATCATAGGGTGGGAAAGTGGTTGAACAATTATGAACTGTGGGTACCTATAAAAAAAAACTCAAATAACAAGAAGGTAACTTACAGAACTTTATTATTGCTATTCCTGATCACACTGATTCCAAAAGGATTTTCTGTGACTTCTACTCGATACATTAAATTGGTTGCTTTAGATCCCTGAAAAGGTTGAACGTTTTCATGTGGGACTTCATATCTATCTTTGTTGGCAGGATCTGTAATCTGTTCAAACCAAACAGCAACATAAAATTTTAAAATGAAATAAATTTTGACATAGTAAATGCACAACTTTCCCTCATCTGAAATATTCTTAATTGCTGGTAAACCTGTTTCAGGTTTAATAAATGCAATTAATTATATTAGTCTTGTAATAAAAGAAAATAAGGTTCCAACATCAACCCAACTCACTTATATTTTTTGGTCCAAATAAGATGCCAGAAAGCAACTATACTTTGAGAATCCTCAGGTGTAGGTAATATAGCAAGCACTAATAAGATAGGTAACATCTTAGCTATAAGAATGGAAGCCTAGGTCCCAGGGAATTAACATTTAGTCGTGGAAGCAACAGTCTTTCAGAAAGCATAACAGTTTTAAACAAATTCTAGGGCCTTCCTTTTACATGTAAGTATAAAGAATGTATTACTTCATGTTCCACATCTCCTATTATTCATTTTATGTATCGATCAATCCAGCTACTCAATAAAGATATAGAATTCCCATAATTGATTAAATTGAGGTGTTGTCTATGTACAATAAAATGCATACTATTGTAACCAATCAAATAAAATATGATTTGTGTAAGACCATAAAGAAAGCTTATAATTCCATCCCTTTAAGCTTCAGATTCTGATATCAAAAGTTGTGCTTCAATGTATTTATGATCTGATCTCTACAGTTCCCTGTCCTGTAAAAGATGGCATTTGTTAGAGAAATTTCTACAGCTGCAGATTTTTAGATTGACTAAGCCTTCTCTGTTCTCAAAAATCAAAATCATTTTTAGTTGTCTCATCATCCTGTTATCAGAAATTCAAAGCAATGTCTTTTTATAACATTTAAAGTATGTTAAAACTGTTTTCATCATTGTGGACCATGTTTTAAATATTTCATACTTCAATACCCAACCCTACATTGAGCTCCCATGGTGCAGGGGTTAGAATGCAGTATTGCAGGTAAACTCTGCCCACAGCCAGGAGTTTGATCCTGACAGAGGTCAAGGTTGAAGTAACCTTCCATCCTTCCGAGGTTTGTAAAATGAGGACCCAGGTTGCTGGGGGCAATATGCTGACATTGTAGATCATCCAGAGATGCTATAAAGAACTGTGGGGCGGTATATAAGTCTAAGTGCTATTGCCATTGTTACATCATTACAAGCATTCAATTCAAAAGTTTATAAAGGTTTCATGCCTGCTTTTTACTAATAGTTAAAACTGGCAAACCAGACAGATAGGTTTCTCAATGAATATCTGAAATGTCCTGAGAAATTTCATATTGGCTGTGAATCAACATGAGAATGGTGACCTTAAGACAGTTTTTCATGGAATATATTTTCATAGAAAGTATCCTTCAATATATATATTTAAGGAGATTGTTCCTAAATAGGTATGAAATATGCCTATTTTTATGCTTATACTCATTTGCCTTAAGGTCGTTTGCAGAACATTTTACTTTAAGACGATGAATTGTAAGGTTGGTTTTGCTTTATATACAATATTCTATCATTGGACAACACATCCTTTCAAATGAATATTTTATTTTTATTTTGAAGCAGGGGTGAAATCCAGCAGGTTCTGGCAGGTTCTGGAGAAGCGGTAGCGGGAATTTTGAGTAGTTCGGAGAACCAGCAAACATCACCTCTGGCTGGCCCCAGAGTGGGGTGGGAATGGAGATTTTGCAGTATCCTTCCCCTGGAGTGGGGTGGGAATGGATTTCGCAGTATTCTTCCCCTGCCATGCCCACCGAGCCACACCATACCACACCCAAGCCACGCCCACAGAACCGGTAGTAAAAGAATTTGGATTTCACCACTGCTTTGAAGATACAGAATAGATCTAAGCTGAAAAATACCAGGTGTTCACCATATGCGAGCAAAGATTTAGTGCTTTCTATGTCTCTTTGCTGTTATCTAATAGACATCTGGAATTTACCAATCCAGATCTAGTATATTTAACAAAAATAATCACATTGTACAGACTGAAAATTTTCCTCCAATTTCTGCACAGTAATCTTTTAGCCCAGTGATACATTATGGCATCAGCTTGTCATTCATTCATCTTTTCATTCCCTGTTATTATTAACTTAAATTTATTAGATTTAGTTGCCACCCACTTGCATTCCTTGATCTTCTGGTTGAAAATATTTCATTTCTTTAAAAAAAAAAAAAGCATTCTAACCTTAAAATGAAATCGGTTTGCTGTTTGATATTCTGCAGTGAGGTGAAGCTTTTCAATATCATTTCCAAATAGGGATGGAGAAGGTAGTCTTATTAGAGTAGCTTCAAATCCTAAAAAAGAAGGAAGGGTGTTACTTCCAATATTGACAATAACAATAGTAATATGAGGTAATCCTCATTCAGGACAAAACAAAGTAAGAGAATAAGGCATGCAGTTTACTGATAAACTATTCTGTCCATTCTGACCTTTAAATTAAATCAGCCAACGAATTGTAGAGCAAAACAGGCTTTGAATCTGTCTCTCTGTATTGTGCAGTCCTTTTAGTTGATCCACTTCATTCTGGAAGCAGCTAGACCAGTGGTGGGATTCAAATTTTTTTACTACCAGTTCTGTGAGCATGGCTTGGTGGGCATGGTAGGGGAAGGATACTGTAAAATCTCCATTCCCATCCCACTCCAGGAGAAGTTTACTGAAAAATCCCCATTTCCTCCTGATCAGTTGGGACACGGGAGGCAGAGAATAGATTGGGGGCAGGGCCAGTCAGAAGTGGTATTTACCAGTTCTCTGAACTACTCAAAATTTCCGCTACCAGTTTTCCAGAACTGGTCAGAACCTGCTGAAACCCACCTCTGATCTATACTCGCCTTCTCCATTGCATGGAAGCTGATGCCCCTGAAAAATGCTGTAAGAATTTTCTGCATTGCACTTAGCCACTGATAAATTGCACAATGATTGAAAGAACTGCACTGACTTAAATTTGTTACTGGACCAAGTTTAATCTAGTTTTTGCTTCTAAAAAACACCAAATCTGTACATGAAATAAAAGGAAGATCTGCTTAATTCTTGGAAACATTCTCAGATGCTTTCCTAGTTCTGTCACAACTTGTGAATTCTCAGATCCATATGAATCATTAATATCTCATCTTTCTGGCACTTAATTAACAATTATTTTTATTTATTTCTTTATGGTCCAAGATGAAGTCATAGTAAACAATTAAAATGCATAATAAAATACTGGAAAAATAATTTATTTTTATATGTATTAATTTTATAAGTAGAAGTGACAAAAATAGTAAAAAACAACTTCTTAATTTTAACCCCACCTCCTAACTAAAATAACTACAAACCCCAATTTCTTATTAAATAGCAAAAGTTTATTAACAAACATGCTAACTTAGCCTCCTGACTCAGAAAGTTTAAGAATTTAGGAATGGCTGTTTCTCTTTCCCATGTTAAGTGGTGCAGACATGAAGCAGATACTTGATCTATCCGATTTTAAGATTATTAGTAGGAAAGAAATCAAGCACTGAGTTTATCCACATGCTGAAAATACTTTTATTTTACATTTTATGTTCATTTCCTTATTTTCATGCTGTGTCTATAAATATCGAATAAGTCTGGAGTTTAGGCTTCTTCAGCTTACCTGGATTTGTGTCTGACATTCTTCCTTGAATTTGGTACCCATGATTTTTTGAAAAGTAGCACCAAGGTACATGTGTTTCATTCTGAGGATCCCAACAACAGCCACGGAGTACACACAGATCCTGTATCATCAGCATTAAAAAGGAAATTAGAACTGTGACCATCAAAATAAACTCCAGATTAATTTTTGGACAACAGCATGTGTGTAATCAATGAAAGGGACACGGTGGCTCAGTGGCTAAGATGCTGAGCTTGTCAGTCGAAAGGTAGGCAGTTCAGCAGTTTGAATCCCTAGTGCTGCGTAACGGGGTGAGCTTCGGTTACTTGTCCCAGTTTCTGCCAACCTAGCAGTTCGAAAGCACATAAAAATGCAAGTAGAAAAATAGGGACCACCTTTGGTGGGAAGGGAACAGCATTCTGTGCTCCTTTGGCATTGAGTCATACTATCACATGACCACAGAGACATCTTCAGACAGCGCTGGCTCTTCAGCACATATGTGCGAGAGGAACCTTTACCTTTAATCAATGACATGCAAGCTGCACAATTTGAAATCAACTATCACTGACCTTTTAAGTGGATTTGTAATGTTCACATATATCTTTTGAAAACAGATTTTTAATTATAGATGTTCCAAATTACCAGTAAGAGTTGCTTTTCAGACTTATAAGCATTCAAGCAACTGTTACATAAAGAACTACTAAAAAGAATTTCCTTTCCTACTTAGAGCTCAGAAAGTCTCTGTTTTAATATACATCGGGATTAATTCTAAATTTAAAATTAATTCATTTGATGGAAAATGTGTGCTGCTACTCTTCTAAACTTAATGCACTTTTAAAAAGGGAACTCTGAGAACTGGGGGGGGGATGCATTCAGTTCAGTCAGCTGTGAAAAGCCTTACAAGCCTTTAGTAAAGGGAAATATGGAAATTCACTTTCTTCCAATAGCTGGATGAAAACAGGAATAGATCCTATTCCTTTCATACAATGAGGATACCATTTTGGAGTGGTACAATTTACAAAACTGCTTCGATGATGGAGCTTAAGTAATATCTTCACCACACATTCTGGGAGTGGATATTGATCCCAGTAGCTACTCTAAACAGGGTCATGACTTGGAAATTCACCACCAAAAGAGAGTTCCCAAGATGTTTTCCTATTGCATTTCCGGAGCCCTGCACAAATGGATAGTCGTGTTCCTGTCACACAGGCAACACGTAGTCAAAATAGAGATGGCCCTATCAAATCTGGCACCAGTTAACAGCGGTGTCCTCCAAGGCAGCATTCTAGGACCCACACTCTTTCTGCTTTACATCAACAACCTATGCGATCATATTAAAAGTAGCTGTGGCCTCTTCGCTTATGACGTAAAATTATTTAAGACCACTGACAATGCTGCTGCCCTCAAAGCTACCTTGACCATGTGTCAGAATGGTTGTGCATTTGGCAACTCCAAATCTCAACTAATAAATGTTCTCTCTTACATATTGGCAATAAAAATCAGAACACCAAATACAAGTTGGGCAGAAACGACCTCGTAGATGACCCTCATTCTGTCAAGGACCTAGGAGTATTCATCTCAAATGATCTAAGCCCCAGAGCTCACTGTAACAGCATTGCCAAAAAGGCATTAAGAATTGTTAACCTAATTTTGCGAAGCTTCTTCTCCGGCAACATTGTATTGCTAAGTAGGGCATACAAAACCTTTGTCAGACCAATTCTTGAATACAGCTCATCTGCCTGGAATCCACACTGTATATCAGACATTAATACAATTGAGCAGGTCCAGAGGTATTTCATGAGAAGAGTACTCCACTTCTCTACTCACAATAGAATCCCTTATGCCACCAGGCTCGAAATTTTGGACTTGGACAATCTGGAACTGTGCTGCCTGTGGTCTGATCTAAGCATAGTACACAAAATTGTCTGCTACAATGTCTTACCTGTCAATGACTTCTTCAGCTTCAACCTCAATAATGCATGGACAAACTCAAGGTAAACTGCTCCAAACTCGATTGCAGAAAATACGACTTCAGCAACAGGGTGGTTAACGCCTGGAATGCTCTACCTGATTCTGTTGTTACATCCTCAAACCCTCACAGCTTCAACCTTAAACTGTCTACCATGGACTCACTCCACTCCTAAGAGGTCCATAAAGGGGGCATGCATAAGTGCACCAGCGTACCTACCATCCCTGTCCTACTATCACCATTTATTTATATTCATTTCCTTCGTTCATGTCCATGTTCATGTTTACACCTGCTATCCTGTACATGTTTGACAAACCAATAAATAAAATAAATAAATAAATTCAGAAGGTGAAAGACTCAACAGGCCAGTTGACGACTAGCAAAGCCATTCGCTATAAATTATACTCCTGTAGAAATGATAAAGAATAATGCTGACTAGTGGACTCCAATTCTGGCTGTCCTCTTCACATTTATTAACTCTTCTGGATAGTTTTCAGAAGACTGATATGACTGTAATTGTTCCGGTTTAGAAGAAAGGGATCACATTTGATCTAATTAACTATTACTCCATTAGCTTCCTATGCCTAATTGGGAAAGCTTTGCACAAGGCACCTCTGTAATAAATTCAGGGACTGGTTGGATAATGAGGAAATCATTGCAGATGAACAGACAGAGAAGGCTTGATTTTATGATATCTGACTAATAGATGCATGACATGGACAAAGAACCCTCTCCAGAGTTTAAATTGGCTTTTGATATTATAAAGGACAAAGAAATGGCAAAAACCTGAGACCTCTTCAATGGATCGTTGGCTCTTTATTCTTATCAGAAGCCTTTATGACAGGAACTCTATGTGAATAACATATGTTTCTTGGGAACATTTGATCAAAAATAGATTTGAGGGGTCCTTCGTGCTGTCTGAGCTTGTTTGTTTTCTTGCAAACATTTTATTACCTTAATTAGGTAACATATATATATATATATATATAGATAGATAGATAGATAGATAGATAGATAGATAGATATAGATATAGATATAGATATAGATATAGATATAGATATAGATATAGATATAGATATAGATATAGATATAGATATAGATATATTTGGTATAAATTTGGTATAAAATGGTTTGTCATGAATGCGACTGCTTGAGGGCTCCTGGATTGGAGTTGAAAGGCGAAAGGGAAGCAGTATGCTCCCTCCCATATAGGGATAGACCAGGTGCTTCGACAGAAAAACACTCAAGCCAATAAAGGGAGGAGAACTTGTGGCTCAGAGGTTAATACAACTGCCTAATATGCAGGCAGCCCAAGTTCGAATCCGAGTAAGAGTATGGCTAGATGAGAGCTAAATAGCTTGAAATAGATCTATATTAGTCTCCCTTTATATAGATATATAACAAACATATATTTATTTAATATGGAGTGAGGCAGGACTTAATTTTGACCCATTTTCATTAGTTCCCTAATTTCTCCCTTACATAAATCTGATTTCTCCAAAGATAGCTACAAATCCAAACCATCTCAGCTCTGGAATATATGAGTGATATTCTGATTTTCAATTTAAGAGCGTTCTATAGCGCTCTTAGAAATATGCACTAATCCAGCATTCCCCAAACTTTCCGGGTTGGCGACCCAGCATGGAGTGAGGATGGCTTGTGGCGAAGGGCAGACATGCACACATGCATGTGTGAGCACAGCATCATTTGTGTGAGTGGTGGCTGTGTGCACCTACCACTCATGAGAATGGACCTGTGAGCACCAGTGCTCACTGCTCACGTGAATAGGGCTACAAGTGCTGGCACCCACAACTCACACAAGTTGGGCTGTGAGCAGCGGCACCCACTGCTCATGTGAGTCGAGCTGTGTGAACAAGTGCCACTCATGCAGTCCAGTTGTGAATAGTCCATGGCTCAGTAGTGGGCTGTGGTCCACAGGTTGGGGACCCCTGCATTAATCTGTCAAGGGGGAAATTTGGAAACAAATTGTTTACATTAATTAAAAATCAATATTCTAGTCTTCAAAAGTTGTTATAAAAAATAATTGGCAAAGTAATGAACAACACATTGAGTAGACCAACTTTTGCAAACATTTGAGCATTGTCTTTCAATTTATAATTCCTGAAGATACCATTGAACCCACATATCACATGAGGCTGAGCAAATCTGCCTCCTTTCCTGCTTCTTTGCTACCTGCTGACACAAAACATAAAAATAATACTTTAGGTAGCTAGACAATAAGTTGTTTGGATTTAAATTTGTTCTAATCATGTTTACTCTTCATTGGGGTGAGTTGTTCATGTTTTAATTCTTAATTTATATTTTGTACTGAAGTATTTTATGTTTGGTTCATCTTTGATCATCATAACAGGAAATTGAGCTGTTGATTTGTGGGCCCTCCTGGACCTGCAATTCCTAATGAACAGCAGAAGGTTCACCCAGCTTTGGCTGCTGTACTAGTAATGACTCTACCTGGACTACAATGTCCTGACCTCAGTAACTCATGGCTTCCTCACCACCTGTCTGAAATACTGCATTGTACTGTATGTGAGGCTGCCTTTGGAGAGACTGTAAGATCTTGCCTCTCCAATATTCCCAAGCAAGCAGGACTCTTGAAACTGTAGCTGTTCCAAAAGGAGCTTTTATTGAAAGGTTTGTGATAACAAAAGGTCTAGGCAAGAACTGAAGGTTCTCACTTAAAACCAGCTATTTAAAGCATGTTAACCAAACCCTTCCCACACTACATCATTGTAGGGAAACAGAAACTTCATATAGAGATTAACACAGTAATGCAGGAAACAGAAACAGAAACTTCATATACAGATCACTCCACTCCTCCCACCTTCCTCCCACCAAAATGCCAGCGTCCCTGTAGAAACATCTGGGACCTGACAGAGACCTTACTTCTACAAAATATGGCAACAATATTATTGGCAGGTGAGCTCCAGCAATGAAGAATTACACCTATACTACATCTATACTACAGGTATAAAACGGTATTATAACTGTAGTATAGGTGTAAAAACTTTATTATAACTATAAATGTAAAGGTTCCCCTCACACATATGTGCTAGTCATTCCCGACTCTAGGGGGCGGTGCTCATCTCCATTTCAAAGCCAAAGAACCAGCGCTGTCCGAAGACGCCTCCGTGGT